GAGAGAGAGAGAGAGAGAGAGAGAGAGAGAGAGAGAGAGAGAGAGAGAGAGAGAGGGGTATCCTCCCCTCTTGGTGCATAATAGTTGTAATCTGAATCGAGTCAGTACATGTTTACATTAATCTCAATTGAATCAGTACAGAACAAGCTATCTACATGTTAGGAAATTAGCATAATGTGTAGTTTTGCTCTTAGTGCAGTATGTTGGCCAGATAGGTGCTGTTTTTCTCCAGACTTTCTAGATTCATAGAATGGTAGGGTCAGAAGGGGCCAGAAATGCCATTGGGTCATATCCCCTGCTGATGCAGGGCGCCAGTTCACACCATCCCACTCAAATGACTGTCCTGTTTCTTCTTGAATGTCTCTACTGTGGGAAAGCCCATGACCTCTCATGGCAGCTGGTTCCATTTTCATATTGCTCTGCCAGTTAGGAAACTCCCTGATACCTAGCCTGAATCTGGTGTGCTGCAGTTTAAGTTTGTTGTTCTGCATCTTTCACTCAGAATGAGTGAGAAGAGACATTGTCCTTCCTTTTTGTGACAGCCTTTGAAGTTCTTGTAGATTGCTATCATATCTCCTCATAATCTTCTCTTTTTGAGGCTAAAAATGCCCAGCTCTCTTGGCTTCTCATCGTATGGCTTAGTTTCCAGACCCTGGATAATCTTTGTTGCCCTCCTCTGAAACCTTTCTATTTTTTCTGCATCTTTTTAAAATATGGGTGCCCAGAACTGAACCAGCATTCTAGGTGAAGTCTGACTAGTGCAGAATAAAGGGGAACTAGTACCTGTCTTGTTCTGGAAGTGATGTTTGTATTTATGCATCCCAAAATAGTATTTGCCCATTTTGTGGCTGTATCACATTGCTGGCTCATATTCAGTTTGTTGTCTACAACAACTCCAAGGTCTTTTTTAGTGCTGTTGAGCCAAGTATTCTCCATTTTGTATTGATGCATTTGGTTTTTTCCCCCTGGGTAGAGAACTTGGCATTTGTCCTTCTTGAATTTATTCTGTTGCTTTCCACCCAGTGCTCTAGCTTGTCTAGGTCACTCTGGACCTTCTTTTTGTTGGCAGGGACAAAGGTAAGACACCCCACCCAATAAATGTCCAAAATCTGACCCCATGGAAGGTTTTTTTTTAATGTTTCAGCATGTCATTGACAGCCTGTCATAGTTATAATTCTTATTTTAATTTGTGTAATACTGAAATGGTTCTTGTATTTCTGGAGATTTTCTTGTTAGCTAAACAAGAGGTTCCAATTGATTTTTTTTCTGCAATGAATATAAAGCATTTGTGTGGTGATTAAAAGGGCTGTCTATTTACTAAAACAAAATTGATAATCGCAGCCAATATTTACAGGTTGGCTTGGCTTCCAGCCTAGAGTTCTTTGGGTGGCATGCCAGGGCCTTCAGGGCAGAATATAGTTAATTATATTGAATGTCAGTGGGTGATGACTACCTCAGTAATCCAGAAGGATGTGCTCTTTCACTCTAAGCCAACCTGTTTGGAGCAGCCTTGCAACCACGCGCACACACTTCAGAATGCTCTGCAGCTGTTTCGTTTATGAACCAGAAGAAACTGAACATGAAGATGTTTATCCAGCCTCTTGGTCACGTTGCCAGATGAGAGGTTAGGGTGCAGGTTGCAACTTCTCTAGCACTTTCCATTAGAGCTCTGGAAACTTGCATACCTCTGGGATTGTGCATAAGAACCATCAAATGTGTTATTGAAGAATCACACTATAATATTTACATTGATAACTGCTGATTAAGCTCCTCCACTTTGATTGAAATAAAGCATATACCCAACAATGTTGCTATGAATTATAGTAATATAATTTACTAGCAGCCAGTGTAGCATAGCGGTTAAGACTGTCAGATTGGGACTAGGAGATCTGCTTCCATTCCCAACTTGGGCACGAATTCCACAGGGTGACTTTGGACCAGGCAGTTTGGGCCAATTTGCACAGATAAAATGGAATGGAGGCAAACTGTAAGCCACCTTGGGTTCCTTGCAAGGTAAAGAAAGGTGGGATATAAATGCAGTATTGTGATGATAATGATGAGAGGACTTTGTACTGTGTCCTTTGTTTGTTTCATTAGTAACACCAAAGTTTGAAGGGAAGTGTATACAAAAATGTTCTTGCTAAGATGTGAACCAAATACCTATGTGCAACCTGATTCTGCACTTATTTAGTTGGGAATTATGCCCCAAATTCAAGGAAGTTTACTGTCATGAAAGTGTAAGTATGCTTGCAGCCTAGGACCAACACTATGACTTGGTTCAGGCATAATGCTAAATATGAGTACACAACTTGCAGCCACTCCTGGTGTGTCTCACAAAAGCAGATGCACTCCACTCACATTTTTTCAGCTCAGCTGAGATGTCCACCAGCTTCTTTTCAGGCTGTGCCTCTCTCATGACAGATAAAAGTTATTCTTTCCAATCGGTCCCTTTTTCTGCTGAGCATTAAAAGCTACCTTTCTTAGGGCTTAGAAGGTGAAAGCACTTCTCTATGATTGGCTGTTGATTGGAGGTAACTTCTATGTTCAGGGGAGAGGGATGAGGCCCAGGGAAGATGCTGCTTAGTGATTAAGTCTGGTGTACTTTTGAAGGTAATCATGCAGAGTCTTGCCTTCTTGCTTCTGAATAAGATATGCCACTTATGCTTGCTTCTGAGTAGACCTGTAGAAGGTTTGTATTCGGGATGTTATTTGAATATGTTTCAGTCCTCCTTACATATGAGTGAAAAATGGTTCTCGCTCTGCTACAAGTGGTGGAGAAACTATGTATCTCACTTGTGGTGGTACATGTGTGCATATATGCAGCACCAGACCACTGGATGCAGCCCTTGAAGACAAAAAAGTTGTGCACTTGGTGCTAAACAATAACACTTAGCATAATAAGAACAAGTGTTTCCTTTCCTCTCTTTTCCTTCAGTATGGCTGCAAATAGAGCAGAAGCTTCTCCTTCAGTTTTAAATTAAATGAACCTTGTTGCTATGTGCAAAGCAGAACTAATTTTTAAGTTTCTGTGTTAGAGAAACCATTGCTAAAATGAGCCAAAGTTTAACAGGACAACTATATTGTAGTTACTTCAGTATAAAAGCAGATGTTTCTCATTGCTGTGTTACAGAAGGGGACAGCACATGAGACCAAGTCATTTTCACATAGCACTAAACATTGGATCTCAAATTTAGTGCGCACAGACATTTGTCTCTTGGTCAGGCAGCCTTCTTGATCTTAATTTTATTGCTTAAAAATGTTAAATGTTACTTCTTTAACTTGAAGACTGACATGCTGCAAAACAATATACTGCCCTGTAACATTATCTTTATTTAGGTTTATATTTTGTTTTTGTATTTGGAAGCTCATCTCTACCCTGTACTTAGTTTCTTGTTCAAGTTAGTTTCTTTTAGATTTAACTGGTTGCCATCTGGAACAAAAGAAGTTTTGTGATGGACCTTTCCCACCTTCCCATAGAAGCTGTTGCATGAACAAGCAAGCTCTCCATAGTAGCCATATTGTAAGAACATGCACAAAACTCTCAGAATTCCAGATGTGCTTACCAGCCCAAAGAGGTTGGAGATCCCTGCACTAAACTATAGTGTTAACACCTGAATGCTGTATGTCTCCAGGAAGGTACTCCCAGAGAGCTCACGTTTAAGTTACAGTGGTTGTAGTCATTGTCATATAATCCTTTTGTGTTTATTCTCTGGAAGTTACAAATATATGGCCTTATATTTTAGAAGCTTCATTTGTAATTACCTAATAGGTTCATCCCTAATTCATTGTATCTAACCCCTTTTACAATCATCTAAGCCACAAACAGTAACTTTAGGTCTTTCTGATGTTTGACTGTAACTCATCTTTGAATATACTTAAGGGATAGGTCATCCTTAAGAGAGACCTACATTTTGCCACTCTAGCTCTATGCTACTGGCCATTACCACACCTTGTGTCAATTAGTGATGATTAATTGCATTTTGAGAAAGAGTAGGGATATATATTCATCTTTAAAATTCTATTTTCACTTTCAGTGCAGTTTTATCCTTCACAGAGGAAATTAGTTGCTGCTTTTCCAGGAAACTATGTACGACACAGCACAATTCTATGAATGTTTATTCAAAAATATGGCCTACTTCATATGGTGGCACTTACGTCCAGGTAGTTGTACATAGGATTGCCTATGTACACATATTCACATATTCTTGAAATTCTAGAAGAAACAACTTGAATCTTACTTTGATTTTACTTTTATAGTGCTGCCTTTGCTTCTGCAGCACATTACCAATCAGTTCATGACATTTTCTTAGGTAATTATGGTACTCTTGTTAATAGGATGGCCAAAGAGTCCATGAGGTTGTGTTTGGGCCGTGGGTCACAGCCTGCCCTTGAGATGTGGGTTCAAATTATACTTCTGATTTAATAGGCGCATAACCATGAGAAAACAACGCTACAGATCAATCTTTGTTTTGTAGGTGATGGATGTGGACATACTGTTTTAGGTCCTGAAAGTGGAACTTTTGCATCAATTAACTACCCGCATCCCTATCCCAACATCACAGTGTGTGAATGGGAGATTCGAGTGAAGCCTGAGCAGAGAGTTCAGCTCAAATTTGGGGATTTTGATATTGATAATTCAGATGCGTGTCATTCTAGTTATGTGAGAGTTTATAATGGAATTGGACCCACAAGGACAGAGATCGGTAAGAAAGTTTTTCTTTCTCCTTTATTATAACGTCTTGGTGTTATGTAGTTCAGAAAGTACTCCATACGGTTGATTGCTTTTTGTTAAAATGTGCATGAATTATTTCCATGGGACTTTTCTCCCCATAGCCTCTGAAGAACTTAAATTGTTTTAAAGCATTTAATTTTATACATTAAATAGAGGCATAAAGTCAGTAGGAGGATACAGTTACATATGTTACTTTTCTGGAATTGCTGAACTGTTGAAAAGAAAATCATTGGGTTGGAGGTGCTGACATTTTAGAAATAAATAGCATATACAATATTTACTTTCTTATCAAACTTATGTTACTGCTTTAATAATGGAAGTCCATTATTTATATATTTATATAGCATTATAACACCAAACTGTATATTTATAAAAATGAACCCATTTTATGAACCCAACTATGGTAAGGCATAACAGTCTATTCTGAGGTTTCTTCTTACTACAGTTGCTTGTGTCATCAGAACTCAGACACAACAACCCATTGTTGTAGAAACCTCAGAACCACAGATCTGCTGGGCAATACTGGCAATTGCCACACTTGCCAAGAGACTAGCCACAGATCAAGGCTAACAGCTGCCCTTGTTTGGTTCTGTCAGAGGCATCCAGCTCCTCCTGTTCCAGATATCTTTGGGGCACAAGCTGGGATGATCAGCTTGGGCAGGACTGCCTCCTCCATTTGCTTCTAAGATGAAACCTCTCACATGTGAGTGAAAGGAAAGAAAATCAGCTGGGTGGCAGTGTCCCCAACTGGGAAAGCACCTCCCAGCTTATTACCCTCCTCAGTCCCATGCCTACCAGGGCACTTTTCTCTCAAATAGGAAAAAATAGCCCAGAGCATCTTTCTCCCTAGCAATAGCTGTGGGGACAAGCCCACCTCCCTATTCTCCTGCTTTGGAGAGAGCACACATCAGGCTCCCTAAGCCAGTGGTGCCCACCACCATAGTTTCGCCCCTTCTTTGTTTCTGCTCCACAGCAACATGCTCCAGCAAGATTGGGGAAGTTAATACTTCAGCTAGGCAGTGATGTTCCATTCTTAGCATGGTCCAGTCTAGCTCAGGCTCCCCCTTCCTTGTTCGTGCTTGAGTGGCTTTATCGGTAGAAGAAGCAGGGAATCAGGACCTGCAGGCAGGTAGGTTCATGCTAAGAAGGAAACATCCTCATCTAGCCCAGTCCTCCCTTTTCTGTTTATGCTCAAGAGGAAGTCTCTCAGGCAGGAGTGGGAAAATCAGTTGACTAGTGCTGCTCCTTTTCTGTAGCACCAGCCAGCTGATTGCTGCCCCCACCCCCCAATTCTTGAGAGTGGATCAAATCCTCCCTCCCTTCCAGAGGTCTCTTCTGGAGCACAGGAGGCAAGTGTACCTTGATCAGCTCCTCTGTCCTTTCTGCTGTGCTTCAGGACATGTTTGAGCAGCAGATACCATTTGAATTGTAGCTGTCAAAAAGAGGAGCTTTATTCCTCCCTGCAGTGCCCCCTGGCATGAAGAAAGGAGTTGGATCAGGACGAAGCAGCCACAATGAGTGAAACTGTCAGTCAGGCTCATTGTGGCTGCTTGGGACTCCAGGGCCATGCATTATGATCAGCTGTCATGAATTGTAAACCTTCTCAGAACCTAAAATACCAAGCCTGTATGTCTGCACAGAAGTAAGCAAAAGCATCATGTCCACGCCCAGATAAACAAAGCATGCCTTAGTGCCCCAGTTCAAATGATTGCAGGGTGGTTAATCATTGTGCACAAGTGTGTAGTGCACTGGCTGGGTTTGTGTGATTACTCTTGCTGGCATGGCTTCTTGTGTTGCTGGGACCCAGCAAGAATGGCTTGTTGGGTTGGTGACAAACTGCCCATGGGCTGGGAGTGGTTTTTTGCCCACCTCAACAAAATTCCCTGGCATGTGCAGGCAGTTAACAAGCCACAGTGGCTTGCTAACAGCCCCGTGATTGTTTGAATCAGTGTTTCTCCCTCTCCACACTTTTTATTTTTTCCCTGGTGGTTCTCTTATCTAGTTGTAGCCAGTCATCATCACCTATGAATGTAACAAACTCAAGCTTGCAAAAAATACAGGTTAGTATCCAGTGCTGCTTGGATGCTAGCAGGACCCACCACTAATACAAAGGATGTTAGTGGTTCCAGAAGCAGCCAAAAAGAGTCTAAGACTCTAGTTACTGGGACGGGTAATGTCAGCAAAGCTCACAGAAGGAAGTTCTACTGACCTATTTTGTTTTCAGAACAGACATTTTCCAGGGTTACTATAGGACGTGCTAGTTCCTGTCACACTAGCACCAAGTCCTATAGGCACAAAGGAACTAACAGATGCAATGAAAGTACTGGAAAGTGTCCATGCATTATGATGTTTTGAAATCCAAACATGAGTTTTACATGCACACTGTGTATGCTAGTATACATTTAAGATGTTCAGGGCATCATCTATTTTCATGAACCCTGGAGACTATTCCAGCAACACAGGCAACTCTCAAGCAGCTCAGAATGCTGCCTTTTAAGTAGGCCATATATGGAGGAAAGGTATTTCAAATACCTCTTTCATACTGGGAATGAGAGGGGAATGTGGGGGGGGGGGCATAGCAGAAACTGAAGTGTAGAATGTTTGGCTAAACAAAAGAAAATTGCTAGGAGCAAATGCACTGTTATCTGTATGAAGTCATGCAGGGACCTATTCAAGTGCTATAAAGTGGGCATCAACTGCCCTGCTTTTTTGGTATTGCAGAAAAACAAACTGAACTTGGATAATGGTAGCGTTATTACACACTTCACTAAGTGAATCATAAACAAAAATAAGGGCACAGTCTTGATGCAACTTTAGATAGAAAATGTTCTAAGCATGCACAGCTGGCTGGATTGCAGGTTTGAATTATTAGGACTTGAATTATTAGGACTTGGAACCCAACTCAGTCATATTCCCAACTCAGTAGATCTCTTGAAAGCAGTGGACTTAACATTTATTATGGCTAACAAGTCCTAATGATTTAATTAGAATTAAGTCTGGATCCAACCCTAGCTTTTTGGTTGTTGCTTATCCATATGATGAATACCTAACCATGATTATGTAACTTAATGCAATGCCAATTTGTACATATAATCAAAATGTTTGCAGGATTTTGGGAGGATTGGGGCAATATAAATGTTAGGTCATTGATGGATGGATATATCTATCTATCTATCTATCTATCTATCTATTTATTTATTTATAACTTTTATATGCCGTCACCACATGCCTCGGCATCTCGGGATGGCTTACAAATTTTTGAGAGATTTGGGATACAAATCTATATACATTTACCATAAGTAAGTCCTAGTGAATTTAATGGGGCTTGCTTTTGAGTAAACATGCATAGGATTGTGTTGTTTCTTTATCAGCTTTGATTTTTCATTAACAACTAGTATGAATGTTTTATGATTTTAGTTATATGATCTCAGGTTATATAAACTACACATGCCTTGTTCTGTGTTTATTGTCTGTGAATATCCATTTTGTTCATCATCTAATTATGTGAACTTCCAATCACAACTTGCATTTGTATGAACTTGCAATTGAAATTTTTGAACATTCTCTTGATGTTTGGTTATAAGAGAACAGAATTAAAAAAAACCCTATTATAGAACAGAGTGGATGTTCGGTATGATCCATATCAGGAAATGCCTTTACTGCATGTCCATAGCGCATTTGATGTTTTCAAGATGAAGTGGCATACTTTTTTTGAAACTATTTCAATAATAGGAAATAGGATGCTGATTTTGAGACTCTTGAGCCATATAGCTTAGTATCATCTGCACAGATACTAGCTGCTCTCCAGGGGTTTAGATATGACACTTTCACAGACCTAGATGTTTGCCCAGCTGGTGGGAATTGACCTTGTGCATGCAAATATATAATCTTTCGTGGAGTTTGGATGCTCCATTAGTTCTGTCATATACCTAGAAATTTTGAAGCAGGATGTTGTAGGTAGATATTTTGGGGAAAATATTTTTGAATGTACTGTAATAAGCATTATTTCTCTTCCAAAGTTTTTAAAATGATAAGACTAAGATGTTTGAATTAAATGGAACCAATATTTTGTGGTGGTTTTCTTAACTCTGACTAAAATAGGTTGAACAGACATTTAGTTTATATTGGCAACTTATTTATATGCTGCCAAAGTGGGGGCAGTGGAAGGAGCAGAGAAAGGGATAGGGAAGAGAAAGGAATAAAGATGAAAAATGTCACTGATAACACAGCTGTTATGTTCTGGCTTGCTGGGATTTTTAATTTAGGAGCTGCAATGCTATTCTTTTTTTCCCTTTTTTGTTATCAGTGGCCTTGAGCCTTCTTCAGATTTTTAAAATATAGTGTATTGAAGGTGGATGAACCACAACTTACCATAAAGACATCTGTATCATGAAGGCTCTTACCAAATTTGATGACTTTTTATTTGGATGTTTTATGAAAACATAGACTTGCTCTAAGCCATGCTCACTCATAAAAAAGAAAACAAAACTTAAGATTCTTAAATGGCAAAGACCTTCCAGTTCTGATTAGTCTATTCACTTCTACAGTTTTGGTTCACTGGCCCAAATATAGTATCTACTTTTGTTGTCTTTACCTGTAAGCTGTTCCCAGCTGATGCATCTGCATAGAAGATTGTGTAGTGCTTGTCTTGCTCTGCTGAGATGGAGCACTTTGAAAATACTAATGGTAATGTTAAAATCAGCAGCCATTGTTAGAAATAAGGGTTAGTTACTGCAGATACTGGGCTGATGGATGAACTGAAGCACAGATGGATACAACATAAATTGTAATTTTAAAAATTAGACAAGGGTCAGGACTAGAATAGAAGTGTGAGGCTAACCGTAGTGCTGACTCTGGAGTGTGGATATATAAAAGAAAACTTTACAGTGGGAACACTTCAACAGTCTATGCCATCATCATTCATTTGTGTAAGTCATATTCATAAACACATAATTTGCAATGTCTAGGGCCATTACCTTCTGTCTCCTCCACCTAATCTAAAAGACATTACTTACATTGGCGACTAGAAACCATTTTTGGAAGAAGAGCAATATTTTAATGCTTTTAAATAATCACTGTGTAAATGTTTGAAATAGAGATTGGATAGTAAATGCTAGCATTTGGTGGACCAAGGAAGGTTGCTATGGTTGCCTTTGATATTGCTGAAAAAGTATCACCCAGATTTTCCCCAAAAGTTGGACATCGGGAAAAAAGTGGCTTGGTAATTTTGTGCTCCACATTTTGAATATTTGTGGACCCTAACCCCTTTGATATTGAGAGCTGGTGTGGTGATTAAAATGTTGGACTGAAGATCTGGGAGATCCAGGTTCTAGTCCCCACTTGGCCATGAAGCCCATTGGGTGATGTGGGCCCGTCACTCATGCTCAGCATAACATACCTCACAGGGCTGTTGTATGGATAAAATGGAACAGTATGTAAAATGTGAACCACCTTGCCTTACACAAGGGAAAAAAGACAGGATATAAATGAAAAATAAATAATTCAGGAGATATATTTAATGGGATTTGTAAGAATAGGTTCATCCATTTGTTATCAAAAGAGTTCTAAATGTGCAAATAGGTGCTAACTATATACATAATTATGATTAATCTTTTCCTCAGGAAAATACTGTGGTTTAGGACTACAGATGGACAATTTAAATGAATCAAAGGGTAATGAAATTACAGTGCAATTCATGAGCGGCACACAGTTTTATGGACATGGATTTCTTGCATCCTATTCAACCACAGACAAACCAGGTATTCATCAGCATTCATATCTAGCAATTATGTAAGCACACCACACATTTATTTCTCTCTGCTAACTGTGCAGTCTTGCCACATGTGATACATCCTGTCAACTCCAATTTATGATACATTATTAATAATGAAGTAAGCAAAACTTGTTCCAAAAGAGAGTAGAATGTATAAAAATTAGCGTACACAATCTGAAGATAGATTATTGGAATAAAGAAATCAAAATGTGTTAACACATATTAGAGAGAGCTATTTTGTGGTAGTGATGCACATTCATGGATTGACGATCCTAGAATCCTTAGTTTGATTCTGGAAATGCTTGCATTATAGTTGAGGTGAAGAACAATTTTTTTCAGTTGAGAATTGCAGCCCCTTGGGATGGGACTTGTTGGAGGCCACATGGCGGTAGTGGACAGAACCAAAGCCAATAGTGAATGGGGCCTTTCCCCTTTTCTTTCTGTTTACTCTCTTTTCCCCCAGCCTCCCTCCCTCCTGCTCTCTTGGTCTCTTCCCCTCTCCATCAGCTGGTGAGAAAGGGACATACCCCTCTTTCTGACTTGCTAGAGGCCTTTTGCAATTATGCCCATAACCCCGTGCAGCCCCAGGGCTAAAAACTGGATACCCATGTCTGTCTTCTGTCCTGCCTTAGCAGATTCATGACTCCTTCCTTTCTCCTAAAGACTTTACCTCTAGTTTCTTGAATTAAGGCTAGAACTGTTTGCATTGTTTACTTGGGAGTGTGTTCTGTTGTATTCAGTAGTACTTATAGTCCAATACTATGCATCTTTATCTGGAGTAAGACTACGTTACCACTTCCCCTTCCTTTGAAAGCTTGTTTCTTAAGGAATTTTCTCATCATGATTGTTTTGAGTGCTGATCAGTTTAGAGATGAGTGTGTGCAATGCTTAAAATATTAATTGCTCTAGTGATGCCCTGATTTTATGTTACTTCCACCAAATGGAGCTGAACCTGACACTAATGTCATTATCCTTTCAGCACCAAGTAAAATGCTTTTATTCTCCTAGGTTTTTTAAATGTATTTTGATATCTTTAAGTCTTTTAGCTTGTTTTTACTGCTGTAGTATTTGTCTGCTTTACCTTGTTTTTGTAAACCATGCTTCTGCAGAAGGGCGCATATATGGATCTTTCAAACAAATAAAATTAAGTATAATTTATTTTGCTCATTTATTTCATATAAAGCACATTCACTCTGATTCTGCTTACTTTAAGTTGAAATATTATTGAACTGCAGTGAATGGTCAACTCAGTAGTTTAATGATATTGTCTTCAAATTTGTCATACTTTAAAAGTATTTTTCCTTTCTGTAATTTTTTCCTAGATTTAATAACATGTTTAGACACAGCAAGTCACTTTAGTGAACCAGAATTCAGGTAAAATTGGTCCTATTTTCTATGTTTTGACAGTCACTGTGGGCTGGTCACTTTTCTCTCCCTAGAAGATTAAAAAATTGCCTTATTTGTGTGAACTGGCTCTTGGCTGCAGTCCTGTGGCCAACAGTTACTTGGGAATAAGCCACATTGATCACAGAGAGATATTTCTGAGTATGTATCTATAAGATTCATAATAATTTTTCTCTAGTGCTAGTGACAGCTTCAGAAACAGCTCTTTGGAAATATATCTGTTTATTACATTTATATCTCTCCACATAAAATTAGTGTTCAAAGTGACTACTAATAAAATACAAATAAATAATGGTTATACTTAATATCTTAACACTTACTACATTGAAAACAAAGCTAAATGTATTAAGGTTAAGGTCAAGCTTTGTTACTACAATAATCATACTTTAAATAAACAGCAAAATGAAGGTCCATGTTTATAGTCAAAACTCTGCAAGTCAATCTTTCCACTTAGTAAATTGTGAAGTGGTAAAAATAATTCTTAGGGTACAATCCTCTGTCAATCTAACACTGACAGAGTAAGCCCAGTTGACTTCAGTAGGATTTACTTCTGAGTGAACATGTGTAAGCTTGCATTCTTATGATTCTAAAATCCATTCAGGTCAGGCTTGCCCTTCATAATTTTTATAACTATAATGTGTCACATAGGATATAATGATATATATTTGCAATGTTTTGCAATTCATCATTTAAGACAGTGATTGTAACTGTAACTGTGATTGCACTAAGTCTCATAATAATCAATGTAAGGTAAAACTGGTTCACACATCGTGCTGCTCTGTGGTTTATTTAACCTAAGGCTTGCAGGTACGCTGAGTCCACTCTCATGCTATATGTAAGTATTTAAGGATGCATGCACACGTGCATTTGTCTAGATTTGAGTATTCAGAGCAGTACGAGAGATTTATTAAATAAATGGTACTTGGTTTTTATAGAACCATCTGCCTAAATGCGATACTCCATGACACTCTTAGGTGCATATTTATTCCTTCCTATGAAATTTTCTCTTGGGTATGTAGCAGTTCTGATTTGACTGTTATCATACTCTGGCATGCTGATAAGTGGTAGTAGTACATTTGGGTAGTTCCAAGAGCAGCCAAGCTCATCATGCACATATGGTACATCTATTTAAAATAATGTTTGTGTAATCTGATGGAATGTTGTCTTTTTACCTTATATCTCTGTTTCTTGCAGTAAATATTGTCCAGCTGGATGTGTGCTTCCTTTTGTTGAAATTTCTGGGACTGTTCCTCATGGCTATAGAGATGTAAGTAAACTTCAGAGTAGTTACTTGAATATTTAATTGGGTTAGTCAGATTATGGCATTCATATACTTTGCTGTAGGGATGCAGTGATGTATATACTTTTGCACTAGCAAATTCTTTATCTGCATTTCAGTTATGCTGAGTGTTAACTGCATTGAACTAGCTCAGCCTTTCCCAACCAGGTACTTTCAAAGTGTATTGGTCTACAGCTAGCCATCCTCTCCAGCCAGAAGACAACAAGCTGGGGAAGACTGAGCTAGAAGGAAAGCTGTGTATCTATTTTGTAAGTGGAATGTCGTAAAAGAAAACTAAATAGCACCTGTCTTGAGTAGATGGTTAGTAGTGACTTTTTACCATGCTGAAAACTATTGTAGTACTATGACTTGATGCATAATTTCAGATCTTTCTTCTCTTCCAAGTCATCTTCACTTTGCATGGCTGGTGTGCATGCAGGAGTGGTGTCCAATGTTTTGGGAGGTCAGATCAATGTTGTAATCAGCAAAGGCATTCCTTTTTATGAAAGTTCTCTGGCTAACAATGTTACATCAAAAGTGTAAGTTTATGTTTTCTACTTCTCACTATTACTAGAATTTAATTGGAAAAAATCATTAAGCAAGTCCAGTAAAGGATCTTATTAAGGTTCTCATGCTGCATGCTCTATTTTAGTAGGTAAAAGTTCTGCAGAAGTTACTAGTCTAAAAATATAACAAGAATTCACTGAAAGTTGATACATCTCTTAAAGACAATTATCAATGGCATCAGAATGTTCTTTTTTAAATACGAAGCTCATCTTCATATTCAAAATGGCCTCCATTTTTGAGGCCTTGTGGAGAACAGGTGATGTTCTAGAGGACTGGAGGGTGGTGTCAGTGGTCCTAATCTTTCAAAAGGGTAGTAGAGGGGACATAGGGAATTACAGTCTGGTTAACCTTATGCCCATTCTGCAGAAGATGATCAAAAGACTCATAATAGGAAACACTCTGGAAACCCTAGATAGGGAAGGGAGGTTGATGGCCGTGCAACACAGCTTCTGCAAAAACAGGTCAGCCAGGTGAAGCTTGTGGAATTCTACAAGATTTCAAGGTGGCTAGATGGAGGGGACATGGTCAATGTGGTCAATGTGGTCAATGTGGATTTCAGCAAGGCTGTTGACAAAGTGTGACATGATTGAGGAGTTATTGAGGAGTTTTGGGATAGACCAATGGACAGTCTGATGGATTTAGGGCATGGTTGACGGACCGAAAGCAGAGGGTAACTATTGGTGGGGATCATCCGGATGATGGTTGGTGATGAATGGGACCCCCCAGGGCTCTGTCCTGGGACCGATCCTGTTCATTCTTTTCATCAGTGACCTGGAAGAAGCGGTGACAAGTCTGCTGATCAAATTTGCAGATAATACTAAAATGGGGGCAGTGGCTACATCTGAGGAGCAGGTACTCCGGATCCAAAAGGATCTGGACGGACAGCATGTTGTTCAATGTGGATTAGTGCAGGGTTTTGCACTTGGGGCACAGGAATGAGTGTCCTAAGTATAGGTTAGGGGACAAGTGGCTGGAGAGCAGCGCTTGTGAAAAGGATCTCTTGGTGCTGGTTGACTGCAGGCTAAACACGAGTCAGCAGTGTGATGCGGTGGTCAAGAGGGCGAACGCCACCCTTGGATGCATAGCCAGAAGTGTGGCTTCTAGATTGAGAGATGTATACTGCCATTCTGTACAACTCTGGTGCACCTGCAGGGGGAGTGTTCATTTCTGGGCTCCTCATTGTAAGAGGGTTATGGCAAGGTTGGAATAGGTGCAGCAAAGGGCCACAAGGATGGTGGCTGGTTTGCAGGGTAAGCCATATGAGGAGAGACTGAGGGAGCTGGGTCTTTTCAGCCTTGAGAGGAGGAGACTCAGAGGGGATCTGTTAGTGACATATATATACGTGAGGGGGTGTCATGGCGAGGTGGGTCATGGCCTTTTGCCCCCTGCAGATGAGGGCAGGATAGGTGCCAATGGAGAAAAGCTCAGGGAACCAAGATTCAAGGTGGATGCCAGGAAATACTTCCTGATAGTTAGGACCCCTAGGGTATAGAATAGGCTTCCACAGGAGGTGGTTGAAGCCCCATTGGTGAGGGTGTTTAAGGATAAGCTGGATATGCACACAGGCATGTCATGAGCGGAGCTGGTTGGAGCTGGGGTTCAGACTAGATGGCCAGGGAGACCCCTTCTGACTCATTCTGTTTCTATGTTTCTGTCTTCTTACTTGGCAACTCCAGGTAAGTAGTTGCCAAGTAATACAACCTGTCCGTAGTTAACGTTTATTCTAGACATTGCTTTTCTTTACCTCATACTATTGGAAAACATTTAAAAGGACTTCTATATTCTAAGAGAATAATAGATATAAAATGGGAAAAAAACTCTTAAGAATGACAAAACAGCATATACCAGAAATGCTTTGAGTTTGTTTAAAACTTTTTATCCACTATCTTCACTGCATTTAAATAAGGTACACTGTATTGTAGCTCAGTACCTCAGTTTCCTTGTACTTAAAGGATGAAGATATGCAATGCATGTGAGAATAATGCTTTTCAATAGGAAGTTGCAGGTTTGAATTGGGAATAAAGTTAACCAATGTTGAGTGCCAACATTTTCTAAATTAGCAGTCCAGGAGACTCTGCTTTTCCTTATTTTACTTTGAAACATGAAGTCATCTTTATGTCTGGATATTATTCTTGAGACATTAATGTATTGTGTTGTACTGTGCTAAAGAGTGCTGGCTTCATTGCTATAATGCAGAAAACAATGTCTTTGAGTGATGTTCTAACAGGACACACAGATACAAATTAAGGAAAGACTTTACATTTTATTGGTACTAAAGATACAGTTTTGTGCCATCTATTTGTTTTTTATACAGAGGACCACTGTCTTCCGGGCTCTTCACTTTCAAAACTAGTGGTAAGCCTACATTCTCTGTATCGCCATTAGTATTTACATAAGATCTGAACTCTGTCAGCATCTTTATTTCTACTGCATCTTTCTTCCTTTTCTCCTGGATGACTCATTGCCATCTCAAGCTTATGGCTAGAATTCTTTTTACTTAAACCAACTCCTCTCTGACTTTAATTATTGTAGGATTAGGTACTTATCCTCTACTAGGACCAGGCATGTATGAAACACCTCAGCTTTTTCATGCTTGGCATGGCATATGCAACCTACCCTTGAGGTTATCATGTTATGCAAACCTGGCAAGAGCAGATTATATGATTCATAGCCTTTTCTTTGTTCTCCTGTAGAGATGATAGACCTATCAGAATGGTCTGCCTCAAAAGCTTTATAGATCTAGTAAATTTCCAGTCAGTCCTAGGAAGTTCTAGCGTTGTCAGTGATCTAGGGCCAGTTCTGACAATGATCCTGGTCATAAAATGGAATTGGGCTGAGTAGGGCCTTAGACACTATCACTCCTGAGTGGCCTCTCTATCCTGCTTCCCAAAAAATTCCCTGGTTATACAGAGGAACTCTGATGCATGAATTAGGAAGGACAAAGACTGGCATGCCAATAGTGTAAAACTGCACTCATCTCTGATAAAACACTTTATAGAGAGCATTTTCACTCCTATTTGGTGGTGGTACAAACAGCAAAGAAGGGTTTCTTCTCTGATTATATTGGGTCTACATATTCACATCCAACAGAGCCATTTATGGTAGCAAGAGACTTGTCTAACCCAGTGCTCCTAACCTATCTTCATTGCCATCAATTGCTTGCTGTGGCACTTTGAACAACTATTTTTCAGGTAAAATTTCTTGGATAAAAGCTGAGCTTGATGCAATTGTGGAGCTGGAGATCCACACAGAGGTATTTAGCAGCATTGTAAATGGGGTTATCATGGATCAATTTTAATTTGTAAGTCCTGATGTTGACAGGATGCTTGGACTGGAGAGAAAAACCACCTGCTCTCTCAATCTATGTCCATATCGGCTGGTAGTCCAGGGAATGGAGGCACTAAGAGAAGTATTATGTCTTGTCATCAATGCCTCCTTCAAAGAGGGTAGGATTCCTTCCTTCCTGCTTGCAGGAGGTTGTTGTATGGCCCCTCCTTAAGAAACCCAATTTGAACCCCCTGGACTATAACAACTTCAGACTAGTCACAAATATACTATTTCTTTGTAAGGTGATTAAGAAGATGGTGTCTGTCCAGCTTCAGGCAGTCCTGGGTGATTCTGACTTTTTGAACCCATTTCAAACTGATTTCAGTGGGATTTGAAGTTGAGACTGGTGTGGTCACACTAGTGGATGATCTGTGACTCAAAATTATAGGGGTAGTTTGCTCCTGCTCTGTTGGATCTTTCAGTGGCCTTTGATAGTATTGACCATAGCATCCTTCTGGAACATCTAAGGGAGTTGGGAATTGGAGGCACTGCCTTGCAATGGTTCCATGTCTGTCTCTCAGGTGGGTTCCAGATAGTGATGCTTGGAGACTGTTGCTTCTCTAAGAAGGAGCTGACTTGGCCACATGACTCCAATTTGTCTCCAGTGCTATTTAATATCTACATGAAGCCGCTGGAAGAGAGCATCCGGCAGAGTGGGGGTTGGTGTTACTGATATGCCAATGATACTCAGATCTGTTTCTCCTTACCAGCATCTGCTGCTGTTTCTAGCGACTGCATCTCTCCTCTGAATGACTGTCTGAGGAGAGTAATGGGTTGGATGCAGAAAAACAAATTGAAGTTGAATCCAGACAAAATAGAGGTGCTTTCGTTTAAGGAATTAGAGGTTTTTCAGCTGGTTCTAGATGGGGCTGCACTCCCCCAAAAGACCATGTTCGTAGTTTGGAGGTGCTGCTTCATGCAGCCATTCACATGTTAACTCAGATAGAAACTGGCCAAGAGTGTTCTTTTGTTAGCAACTGTGTCCCTTCCTGGGGGAGAGTGACCTTAAAACAGTAGTGCATGTTCCGGTAACTTCTAGGCCCAGTTTCTGTAGTATGTTCTGTTCTGCTTGGCATTACTCTTGTGCCTCCTCCAGAAACTGCAACTCATACAAAATGGTCCCTGGGTCATCATGGAGAGACCATGTATCACCAATATTAAAATCTCTCTACTGGTTGCCAATATGTTTCTGGACCATAGTACAAGGTGTTGATAATTACCTTTAAAGCCCTTCATACCTTGGATCCAAAATAGAAGCACCTTCAGAAGCATCTTTGCCCATATATTCTACCTCACCCAATTAAGGTCCTCTGGGGATAATCTTTTGAAGCTTGTCTCTGTAAGACAAATGTCAATTACTCAGAGGACTTCCTTCCTTAGGGACATAGTTTGTCTCTAAACTATGGAATAGCATGCCAGATATCCCAGATTTCTACCTTCAAGAGGGACTTAAAGATGTACCTCTTCTGACAGGCCTTCCCAGATTAGTGTTATTTATTATGCTGTTTTTAGTTGAAATTTTAATTACCGTTTATTTTTAATGACTTGTAAATTTCTCAGAGCCTATGGGAATGGGGTGGTATATAAAAATCAAAATAATTTTTTAAAAGTTTAAACAACCCTTGCACAAGTCTGAAACACACCATGAATTATGAGAAGGTTAGTCACCCTCATGGAACTCTCTCACCCTCACTCTCCCCAGGTGGGCCTTGCATATTTAGAATGGCAGTTGTACATGCCACAGCCTCACCAACATAACCATTAGTGCAAACAGTCCCACACTTCCAGTGTGCAAGATCTTTCCAAATCAGGCTACTTTTATTTACAACACTGCAGAAGTCCAGCTTTTCTTTTAATATGGTCATAAAAGCTCCATCTCCATGAGCTTTCAATGAGAGTTCATATCTGTCTAAGATTTTAAATGGGAGATCACACCTACTAAAACACAAACAAAAATGCTTTGTTTAAATTGTACAATTTTTTTTATCTAGGTCCTGTCTCATAGGCTTAGAATTGGGTATAACAGTAATTGTTTTTGCTCTTTTTTTCAAAGTTCCATAATCTTTTGGTTTTTTTGTTTAGGTTGCTATGGGACATTGGGAATGGAGACTGGAGTAATTGCTGATTTGCAGATTAATGCATCATCATTTCTAGAATGGCCTGAGCAACTGGGACAGCCAAGCACCTGGAAGCCAGAAAGAGCCAGGTTGAAAAGGCCTGGACATTCTTGGGCAGCTTTAACCAATGATGAATATCAGTGGTTGCAAATAGATCTAAATAAAGAGCAGCGAATAACAGGTAAGCACAATTAAATTCATTCTTAAGAGGAACACAGATCTATGTGTTGGTAAGAATTTGAACTTTAATTGCAGGGAAGATAGGAGACTGGTGACCTCCTGCATGTTGGTTCGTGTTGGTATAAAACACATTACTGAATAAGTTAAGGGGAAGGTAATTCCACTTTATTTAAGTACAAATAAACATTCCAGAAGTGGCATCAATAGCAATTTAATAATAAGCAGTGCTTTTTTTGTAAAAAAAAAAAAAAAAAGTGCTGGAACTCACATCTTGGGGTCACACTTTTACACAATGGTCACTGCCGGCAGTAAGCACTCAGCGCGTGACCACACAACCAATCCCAAAGATCCCAAGCTAAGCAGCGTCCCAAGCCAAGCAGCATCCTCACGATCCACGCCCTCACAATCAGCGCAGACACACAAGCAGCCCGCAGGCACTATGTTAATGATTTTTGCCGTGGATCTGCTACGCCCAACAGGGCGATTCACAGTCACTTGGAAAAATCCGTCAAAAAAGGGTGCTGGAACGCCGTTCCTGTGCGTTCTATGACAATAAAAGCCCTGATAACAAGTAAGCAAAATACACAAGTAGTGAATCCACTTCTTATCAGGAAGTATTACTGAAAACAGAAATACAGCAAAAGTAAATGAAGCATTCTACAAAATACTATTTGCTGTGAAATTATGTAGCCTGCTTCCTGCATGTCTCTTGTGGTGCAATTTTAAGCAGGAGTGAATACTGCACTTCACAGCCACCACTGCGGACAGGAGATGCATGTGCAGTCACAGTAGGCCCATACAGAGATCTACACTTGACCGTTTGAGATCCATTTCTGCCCAGGTTGCTGTAGGCTTTTGTATAGGTTTTAACTATCTGGTATTTTCAAAGGTTATACAAGCTTTTAAAACAAATAAAATTTCTAGATGGTAGTGCTGGGAATTTCTGTTTATTGCCATGATATTTATTCTTTGGAGTCCTCTAGGGTTCTTTTGTATCCCAGACATTTAACATTTACATGAAACCACTGAATGAGGTAATCCTGGTAATTAGACTGTGTGTAGATGACATCTAGCCATGTTTCTTCTTGTCATCAAACCCAGATGAGGTGGTAATGTACCAATCCTTTGAGCAGCAATGGAAAGGATGGGGACTTACAAGATGAAGCCCTGTCTAGGCAAGATGGAGGTGCAATTTTTGAGTGATTCATTTGCTTAAGCAAGTGATATTCTGTCTGTCCAGAGAGTGTTGTACTTAGAGGACCGGGAACACAATTTGAGGAGGTTGTTGATCAGTGTTTGTCCCTATATGCACAGGTGGTTTCTGTGGCATGAAGTTTCTTTCACCAGCTCCAGCTAATGTGTCATCTGTGACTCAGACAGGGTTAGCTTTGCCTCAGTGACCTCCTCTTAGTAATCTCCTGTTTGGATTATTGAAGTGCCCATTTTTGGAGCTTTTCACAATCCCTTTTTTATTTCTGATGGGCTACTTAAGTGTCTGTATGCTAAAAAAAACCCAGCCCTAGTTCTTCCTGTTTATTGTGTGAACCATCTTATTTGCAGGCATCATAACTACTGGCTCCACTTTAGCAGAGTACCATTATTATGTCTCTGCCTATAGGATTCTTTACAGCAATGATGCACAGAAATGGACAGTATATAGAGAACCTGGTGTTGAGAAGGATAAGGTAAGATGTAAAGTGAAAATTATATGAAATCATTGTGTAACTTTTAAAACTGATGCTCTTGGAATATTCATTTAGTAGCAGGTGGTTAAGAAGCTATCAGTAGAGTATTTCAGTAGACAGGAAATTTAACTGTGATATATTGGATGTTTGCAACATCCTACTGTTAGAAAACTTTGACAAGGGAATGTGGTTTATGTCTCATGGGTCAAGTTGTTGCCATCCACTTGGCCCACATCAGAAAAACCAACTCACACTTGGCAGAACAGAGGAATGGGGGAGATTCCATTCACACTTGATCTGTGGCCTGAGGGAGGGGACATTTCCCACGGAGGACAGGAATACGTGTGTGTGGTGCACATATGTGCAGTAGAGGTGAGAGGATGGACAGAGGTATGTACAGTGATAGGATGAGGGTAAGTTTTTGTAATGTCGTTTTTGGGATTTAGAGAAGGAGAAATTTTTATTCAGTTCTATTTGTGGAAGGTAGTAGGTGCATGCTTCTTGTAGAGCAGGGGCTGGCGACTTGGGGTCCTCCAGATCAGTGGTCCCCAACCTTTTTGGCACCAGGCACTGGCTTTGCGGAAGACAGTTTTTCCACGGACTGGGCGGGGGAATGGTTTTGGGATGATTCAAGTGCATTACATTTATGGTGCACTTTATTTCTGTTATTATTACATTGTAATATATAATGAAACAATTATATAACTCTGCCTCAGATCATCAGGCATTAGATTCTCCTAAGGAGCATGCAACCTGGATCCCTTGACTGTAGTTTACAGTAGGGCTCATGCTCTCATAGGAAAAACCCCCTCACCTCGATCCACCTGCTCTCATTGGTCTAAGTCTCAGCCATTCCACCCTTTTTACTGAAGTGCCTGTTTTGTGCCTGAGCCACAACTCACACGTAATCTTGGGGAACAGTGCACTTGAAAAGGAGTCACTTTTCTTCTGGATACCTCCTGAATTTTAGGATCCTTTGCTGGGGTCCAGTGTGCCCTGCCAAAGACTACATGCCCTAGCCTTACACTCACAGGGACACACAACACACTTAGAAGCAAAAGAAAGTTTATTCAGGGTAAAATAAAGAGCAGGTGCAAACTCTTAACCTGATGCTATCTAGGCAGGAACTATTCTTACTGCATCCCAAGCTTGCTATATATTTTTTAAAGAGAATAAGCGCCTTCCATCTAGTAGCCTTATCAAAAGAAGCTAACAGATTAGTTCAAGTCTACTACTTATTAGCCTGCACAGTAGACTCTTGACAATAGTTGCTTGTATAGGCAGGAAGGGTCTAAGTATGCCATGCTCCAGGCTAGGTGCCATATTTGTGTTCAGAGCTTGCCACCCTCCATTTGCTAAGTCCCTGGTTCTTATATTCTCCCTTGCCACCCCCTTACTGGCTTCTCTGGGGAAGTTTTTCTTTCTCAGACATACACTAATTACTTGATGTGTACTTGATTGCTGTTGATGACCTTTGCTATTTGCTATATGACCATGTCTGTTTTCTGTGAGTAAAAAGTGTGTTCTCCATCTGTGTTTGCTGGCTGCTATTGACAGGGCAATTTCCAGGTGTCCAGTGCTGCTTTTCTCACCTCTAGTTGATTTACTTTGCTCACTCAGGACAAAAGTAGCCATTCTTTGCAGAGTCATCTTGCCTGATTTCTTTAAGGGAAATCTCAGGTTATGCATGGACTTTCCTCCACAAAAATTCCAGCATTCATTGGTCATTTCTTATCTCACTCACACTGGCTGTCATTAGGTTATGCCTTTTGAATGTAAACTTACCCAATGCACTTTGTGGCTTGAAAGTATGTTCTTCTGGCACTTGCCGTATAACCCATATTGATGATATACACACACTATGCTACATTGAAGTCCAGGGGAAACAAGTGCAAAATACTTCACATTGGGAGAAAAAATCCCAGATTCAAGGACAGGCATACTTCATTTTATTCCACCTCACTTTGTTGTGCTTTGAAAAATACTGTGCTTTTTACAAACTGAAGGTTTTTGGCAACCTTGCATTGAACAAGTCTATCGGTGCCATTTTACAACAGCATTTACATTTTGGTAATTCTTGCAATATTTCAAACTTTTTCATTATTTGTTGCAGTGATCTGACATCAGTGATCTTTGATGTTACTATTTTAATATCATGATGTTTAGCATTTTTTCACAATAAAGTATTTTAATTCAGTTATATACATTATTTAGATACAATGCTATTGCACAATTAATAGACTATAGTATATTATAAACGTAACCTTTATGTGCACGGGGAAACCAAACATTCATAAGATTCACTTCACTGCAATATTTACTTTATTGCAGTGGTCTGGAACAGAACCTGCAATATCTCTGAGGTATGCCTGTATAAGCTAGAAATGACTGACCAAGAGATCTTTAGAGTTATGGTAGCTATGAAAAAGACAAGCTTCAAGCTAGGCATAATTAGGAAAGAATTTGAAAATAGAACTGCTAAGATTATCCCCCCCACCCATAGAAATCTGTGGTGCAACTACATTTAGAATACTGTATACAGTTCTGGTCATCACACCCATAACAGGATATTGTAAAGTTGGCAAAAGTGAAAGAGGATTCGTGGAATTATAGTCTGAGACTGTGATTTCTATTTCTGTCTTTCAGAGAGGACTTCAACCAAGAGCCCCAATTTTTTATAACCTTGTCTTGTAAAAACCATTCTTCACTTGTAATCAAAACTATTCCTTTAACGATAATTGCCAAACTTAGCAATTATTAGCCATAAATACCCACTATTAATACACAATTAATTGAATTAATAAAATGATTAGAATAGCAGACAGCAATTATATTTAAATCCTTCAGGGAAGTTACTGATAATTTCAACCTGCAGCACTACTTCATAGTCAATTCAGTAGCTATACAGATTAATTTCAACTAAAAATAAAAATAAAGAAGTTCAAGAGATAAGCTGAATAAAGCACTGAATAAAATGCCAAGGGTGCAGCACTTTTGAGTTGAGTGAGAGAGAGAGAGAGAGAGAGAGAGAGAAAGCCTTTTGATTATTTCTCCCACAAAGGGGGGATCAGACAATTCATGATTTGATGATGATAAAAATATTTTAAAAATAATACTAACACTGCTAATAATAGTAAGAACCACTGAAATAAAAAATAAGTTGTAGAGCTCCTTCAGTGGCCTGCCTTCTTTCTACCTATTCCTGAATTAAAATTATTCAATATTGCTATTATACTAATGGAGTTTCATCTATGATTTGAGAAATCTAGGCGTGCTATTTAGAATAACTTTAAAATGACCATAATAATTTAGTTTCCCATTTGGAAGTAACGGAATAGTTTTGTTTTTCACAATTCACATCTGGATTGACTGGATCCAAGGATATGCCTTCTTTCAATGGAAGGGCTATACTTCTGGAAGGTACCTCTGCCTGATTTTTTTGCTTCCCCCCATACCTCATTCAGCAAAGTCCATGGATCTCCATGAAGCATTTTTAAGGACTTAGATGAGGTGTCACAGGAAAGAGGGTAATGGAGATGTCTGCTTCTCTTAACCCAGCTGTACATTTCTAAATATCTCTTATTTTTCTAGGTATTTCAAGGCAACACTGGATATTATCAAGAGGTTCGCAATAACTTCATTCCACCCATAATTGCTCGTTTTATTAGAATAAACCCTTTGAAGTGGCACCAGAAAATTGCAATGAAAGTTGAATTGCTAGGATGTCAGTTTAGCATTGGTAAGTGAAATGGCATTTATTACTCTTTATATTAGACTGGCTTGCATAGGGATGAATGCTTTTTGTATACTTACTTTCGTATAAAATTCCCACTTATGTGAATTATATATACTAATATACTTGGTAACTCTTTATAGTTTGTCTGGCCCTTGGCATCTGTATCAACATCTGAATGATACTCTAGGATTGTGAGCATAATATATTGTGAGTTTTCTTGGGCAGTGATCCATACAATCATTCCCATTAATTTGCTGGCACAGGAAGTTTTAGCGTAAAATAATGCAAGGGTTATTGTAATATGGGTATGTTCTAGTCTCTTACACACAGGAAGCTACTTGTTATTTTAACTAACAGTATGACCTCCAGATTTTGGTTTTATTTTAAGTTCGAGCTCCAAAACCTACAGTACCCCCACAGTCCACGAACAGCAATGATTTCCCCCTGCAAACTGATAAGACAACCTTCATTCCCAAGATCAAGAACACGACAGTAACTCCAAGTGTAACCAAAGGTACTGGCAGCTCATAATATTTAGTGGTTATAAGCTAATCTTTGTTGATTCCTGTTAAATTATTGGTCTATTGTACGCTGATCCGTTATATTTTTTTCATACAGGAATTCCTATAGTAGAGGTAGGTAGCTCATATGTATAACTGTATATCCTACAGGGGAGTTAAAAACTAGTAACTGATAATCAGTTTCTAAATTAAGATTGTCAACTCTTTTATAACTAGCCTGTGGTCAATTTAAGAAGCATCCCCTACTTCAAACCAGAGTTGCTTCAGTACTCTGTAAATGCTGTTGTATGGCTGTTAGCTGAATTTTCTTGCTTTGGTGGTGGGTATTAAATTTAGCTTTTAACAAGCCTGCAAAGCTTACACGCGTCATTTATTTAATGGACTTCAGATGTGGCATTGGTAGCTGTTCTGGTTCCTGTGTTGGTCATGGTCTTTACCACCCTCATCTTGATCTTAGTTTGTGCCTGGCACTGGAGAAACAGGTAAATGAATCATTTTCCTAGATTCAAAAATAATAGTTGAAAAAATAGTTACTATTAGTTTCAGTAGGTAAAATGAAAAATGTTTCATACTGTAGGCATTTTTTTAACAGAACAGTGTGCATGTCCGTACTGATAGTGCTGTATTTTATTGTGAACCACTTTAGGGAAGTAAACATTTTATGAAGTGTGCAGTTCAGCCACTGTTACCTTTGCAGAAGAAACACATTTAACAGAGGAAGGATATATGCAGTCTTTTAACAAAGGCAGTTGCTGCTATTTATATTTATTAAGATGAAATTATGAGCAAAAAGGAAACAGTCTTGTATAATTTAATTTCTTTTGGGAAAAGATTTATAGCAAATTGTGATTTATTTGTACATAAAACACGTAATATTTTCAGCTGTTTATGCCAAATAATTCTTTAATATTGTTATTAATTATGGGTATATTCTGGATACCATTCACTTTTTCAGAAGGAGAAAAACAGAAGGAACTTATGACATGTCTTATTGGGACCGTGCAGGTAACAGTTGCAGAAATGCTGTATGTGATGTTAAGCACGGAAATTAAAACATATTCTTGTAACTACTGGTGATTAGACTTGGCTTGCCTGGCTCCTGAATCAACTGCATTGTTCATTAGTTAAAGCCAGACACTTTAAAAACTCTTTAATGTTCAACTTGAGATAGTCAAGCAGCCAACTTCCTCCCTGTCTCTTCCAGCCCCCCCCCCCTTCCAGTTCTATTCCCTTCTCTTAAAAATTCTTGAGCAGAAGGAAATGGCAGCAGAGGGTGGGCAAGCAGGTAGCACCCCAGTCCAGGAAGAAGCTGATTGCAGGAAAGGGGTCGTCATGTGACGGTCTGCCCATTTCTGTACTTGAAATCTCCTCCTCCAGTCACTTTACAGCTTTTCAGTGTGATCTAAGATGCAGACTGCAACTGAAATAGGCAGTGCACATCCCCATTTTTCTCTACACGTATAACCGTTTCAGGTTCAAGAGCACAACTTTGCTTTAAACTACAGTGTGGCCTTATCTATTTAAATAACTACAGGGACATGGAGAGGCCATCAGAAATTGACCAACATCACAATGTTCTATACAAAGGATCACAACAGATATAGGAACAATGAACAGGAAATTTGGATTTAAAAATGGTGAAATAATTGTTGTTGCTTAGTCGAAAAGTTGTGCCCGACCTATCATGACCCCATGGACAACATTCCTCCAGGCTCTCCTGTCTCCTGTCATCATCCCTTGGAGTCCACCCAAGCTCACACCCACTTCCCTAGTGATTCCATCTAGTCACCTCATCCTCTGCCGTCACCTCCTTCTTTTGCCATCAATCAGTGAAATAATACTTGGCTCCATTTCCAGCCATTGTAGCTTGTGATAAGAGACTGCTGAAAATCAGCCTAGAAGGCCTAAGTTCAGCTAATTAGACATGGATGATCTTGGCAAGCACTCACTCACTACTTCATCTGTAAAACGGGTAAAAAATTTGGTTAGCTTCACATAGTTTTGTAGGCAAAGTACATTATTAAACTTATTAGAAGATATAAGATATATCTGTTGGAAAGTGCTAGAGGTTAAGAGAGCTTTCTATCATAATAGTAGTAGTCCTGAAGGTTAAGAAATATTCAAAACTTGGCTCAAACTACTTGCTCAGCTGTGCATCAACCTTGCCTCTTCCAGACTATCCAGTATGTATTACACCAGACTTACTTAGATGAAGACCATACTACCAGTAACTAGGAAAAAACTTGTTATAATGTTATGCAGATACAGCCATATTGTGACCAAGGTGGCAAGAACCAGCATTTTGAAATGACTTGGATTAGATCCAGGAGACTCAAGTTCAAAACAGGCACGAAGTTCAGTGAATGACTTTGAGCCTGTTGCCCAGCCTACCTCACAGGGTAATTGAGAACATAAATAAATGTTTGCAGCTACTTATTAAAAATGCAATAAATGATAAACTTAATTTTAAACCTGACCATCTGAAAGAATTTGTATTTTCAGAAAAACTATTTGAATATTCTGTTTCTTGTTAATGGGAGATGACATAACAGATTCTGTATCAGTATCTTCCAGCTGATTTAAGATAAAATTTCCAAAACACAATACACTCCTAAGAGTGTTAATTTTCATTAGTCATTAATCTGGTCTAATGTGGTTAACCAAAACTGTACATTTTAATGTTACTTTGTAATAGTTTTTTTTCACTGGATGGAGATTTTATATTGGAACTTGTTTTGTATTTGTGCAGCAGAATCCTTCTGGGAGGATATATTGAAGATACAATTGCTTTCATCCACAAGGTCTATAGCATATTGTACCCTACGGATGTTGCAAGTCTGCAGAGGTTCATCTTGAAACATTTTAAGTCAACACACATTGAGGGAAAATGACTGATTAAGTCTGACTTTCATTGCACTGTTGAAAACCACTCCCATTTCCTTGATAGCCTAATGCAATGCAACTCTAATTAGTTTTATGGTTTGTTAATAAACTGGTTCAGTCCTAGTATAAACTTACTGAAGTGCCTCCAACGCAGTGGAAACTCTGCTCAGTTTAAACATGGAGTGCTTCAGATCTCCTCATGGCTACGCTAGGGAAGTGGAAGGCATGTGAGTCCAGGGCTCCCATCTGTTCTCTGCATAGTGCTGAAGTATGGTTAGTGCCATGTGCAAAACAGACCAGTTGCCACAAGTAACTAGAAGTGTTTAAAAGCTTTCAAACCTAAAGACATATGTATAATACAGTTGTGAATAATATGGCTTATCAATAGAACACTTATAACTTGTGTGGGAAATTTCTTTTATCAAATTGTACAGGTTGGTGGAAAGGAATGAAGCAGTTTCTTCCTGCCAAGACTGCAGAGCATGAAGAAGCACCTGTTCGTTATAGTAGCAGTGAAGTTAGTTGCCTTAGATCAAGGGAAGTTACAACTGTGTTGCAAACTCAGTCCACAGGTATTTGTGTACCCTTGCTTACCCTGCTTCCAGTGAATGGTGTCTGTTTTAAAAGAAAAGGTTTTCATACTGATATCTCTGCAAATGAAATGGAGAAGATCTTACCCTCCTGTCTCTCATAAGTTTGTTAGCTCCTTTAAGATATAGCAAATATATTTTGCATACTGATCCTGTAGTTAGCAAAGGCAATCTGATTCAATTCTTGCAGGATTATATCACTAAAGCTTTTATGAGAGATGTACTCTCAAAAAAATTTGCACCCAATAACACAGCTTTCCTCCTTGGAAAGATATGAAACTCTGACTATCTGTAGAGCCAGTTGGTTTTTCCTGTGACAGCCACTTTCAAATGAGTAATTTGCCACCTTGGTTTTAATCTGAAAAGGTCCCAGCTCGAGCAACAAACAGTTGAACTACTCCAAGTCCTTTTACACAGCTATAAAAGTGGGCCTCTTTGCTGAACATTCTTGATTACTATAATTGTTTCAATGAACAAGCTTTCAGTAAGGCTTGTCAGTAACTGAAGTATATAAAATATTGGTCTGATGCAATATTCCATTCTGTATGTATGCCTGTCCCAAATCCTGTGCCACCTGAGGATCGGGACTGTGCTGTACATCTCTTTCAAGTGGAGGGAAAGTGCTGATGCAATCAAACAATGTACTCCTGAAATAATTCTTTAGGGTTTGTAACATGTGTGAACTTTTCACTCCTTACTGTGTGAGTACGTGAGAGTTCTTTTAAAAAATGATTATTTGCAACAAAATGCTGGGCTTTTCAGTAGTCACCAAGGACAGCAGCTGGGCAGGCTCAGTAGTTGCTGCAAAATATAGTGCGCTAACATTAAAGGTAAGAGAAAACACCCTCTAACTTTCAGCAGTCAAGGCTCTTCGCCTGCGCACCTAATCCAAGTGACAAGGTCCTACTCCCATCAAAACAAAGTGCAATAGAGATGGGAAAAGAGGAGGAGCAGTTTGAACTACATAGCTCCAGTCTCTCAGCATTCAGCACTTTGATGTAACGTTCCAAGAGCTGAACCCAGATCCTTTGTGCTGGCAGAAGTGGACTTTCCTTGGGAGCCCCCTGAATATACTACACAGAGAATCAGGTAACCCTGCTAAATAGAGTAAGCTATGCATAGGGGAGAGGATTCTTAAAAATTAAGTGAAAGGACCATAAGTAGAACAACTCCTCTTGCTTTCTCTCACAGGTGATTGATTTCAGATCCAGCTTGAAAGTGTTGTGTTTCTTATCACTCAGGGGCATTATATTGGAATTGAAAAAAAAATCTTAGAAGTAATACTGGTCTCTCTTTGTACAGAGTATGCACAACCACTTGTGGGAGGAATTGTTGGTACACTTCATCAGAGGTCAACCTTTAAACCAGAAGATGGAAAAGAAACAAACTATGCAGATACAGATCCTTACAACTTGCCAGAAAAAGAAATTTATCATGCCTACGCTGAGCCCTTACCAGTAACTGGACCAGAATATGCAACACCAATAGTGATGGATATATCAGGTCATCCTGCAGCAGCTCCTTCAGGCATTTCTTCAGTTTCTACTTTCAAGTCTTCAGGGAATCAAGCCCCTCCTACAGTGGGAGCTCACAACAAACTTGTCTCCAGGGCAGATGGTTCATCACCCACTCATGTACTCTATGATACACCCAAGGGGATGCCAGGACTCAATCCTTCAGATGAGTTGGTATACCAGGTACCACAGAACATGTTACACTCAACAGGAGGTAAAGAAGAAGTAAGTTAGGGAAGATGGCTTTGAGAAACTCTGTTAAGGTGCAATCCTGTGCAAGTAGAGATAGAAAAAGGCTTTTTTCTATCTAAACTTTCATAGGATAGCTCCATTTGAGATAATTTTTAAAGTTATCCTTTGGTGATAACTTGGTTTTTTTAATTATTAAAGAATATGAGACTCCAGACCCAGAAAATGAGTTGGATCATCCTTTTTGAAATTCTATACACAACTACTGCTTTCCCATTAATAAAATGATACTCTTTTTGTTCACTACTGATAAGCAATGTGCGAGAAGTATAAACATGCCTAATCACTATGGATACAGAAATAATTGGACTATGTATGTCTTAAGTGCCAAGAAAAAGAAAGATACTATTCTGGAGAAAGAAAAAAGCTTTTAAGTCATAGACCTCGTACTAGAATTTCAAATTCATTTTTAAATAGACCCATTTACTCATTCATGAAGCTACACATAAAAATATGAAGCTAATTATTATACTTCCTATAAGAGGGAATAAGATGTTTTCATTTTTCAATTTATTTATTTAAAATAAATGAAACTTTCATCTATGGTTTTGTTAATAAAATTAGTAACTTAGAATAGAGGTGGGCAACTCTGGCAAGGTGGGACCATTTTTGTCCCTCCAAACCTACCTTTCTTTCGCCTGGTGCTGCAAGGGTACAAGGTAAAATCTGACTCTTTCTACCAAAATTCAGCACTAAAGTGCTGTGATGTGCTAAAAGGGTCTAATTTAACCAATTGGAGAAAAGAAACATGAAGGTAAGGCCCAGCTCTTTCAAAATATAGCAATCCCACCTACCTAGTCCAGATTCTGAGCAAAAAGAGGAGTTCATTGGCAGATAGCCCTGAACTGTAAGGTTACCAATTTCTCAGACAGCAGCTGTATTCACACATAACAAGAAGTCATGGCAGAAATGACCTGCTATGTGTGAATACCAGAAGCAGGGTGATAATGTGGCATGTTTCGTTATCACAAGTCACAACAGTGAATCAACAGTCAAAGTTTCCAAATTTCACCATTACTTCTCATTATGTGTAAAGCTGGTTACAGTGTTTTCCCATGGTTTCTCCATTTGGGCCAGCAATTTGGCAGCAAGAACAGCCATTACTGATAAGACTGAAATTATTTAAACAATTTTTATAAGAAGGAAGAAATAAATTTGATTACATATACATGAATAGCATGTGTATGCATGTGAGGGTTTTCGTGCATGCATCTTGCTTGGATTTTCCAAGTTAGTTTTAGGTATTTATATGCCTTAAGAAAAGCATGTACATCTTTACACTCCTGAGCCTTCAAAACATGAAATTGGCTTACTGTTAGGTTAAAATGTTAGCAACAACTTGGCATTTAACGTATTATGAGATTCTTCAAGATTATTGTTCTGACCTCCAGATGCTACAGATCCAAAGTTATCAATAGCATTTTACTTTAGAATTAAAGGTACTAAACTTTCCAGCTCAAAAATAATTTTTCCAAGATTTATATACTTGAAATAATTAGGGCACAATCTTATCACCCCCCCCCCCCCGGGCTGATGCTTGGAAGTCTCCAAACTTGGAAGCAGCCTCTGCCACCACTGCAGCTGCATCTTATCTAGAAAGTCATTTTGGTCTGTCTTGATGTAGGGCTGGGGAGGGAAGGACAGCTGGGCTGCAGATTTGAAATTAAACAGTTCCACAGCCCTAGTCTTTTTCACTGCTGCCTTCCCCAATATGCCCCTGTAGCCACTCACTTGCAGCTTCAGGGAAAAGGCAGCTGATGTGGTTCTTTCTGTGCCAGCTTTGGGGGTGGGGGAGGTTAGGGGTTCAGTACTTCAGAGTACTGAGCATGACAGCCCTTAGTGCTTGGATTTTGAAAAATCCATCATCTCCCAGGTGATGTTGGCAGACCATAAGATTGTGCCCTTAGTGACTTCATGCACAATAAAACTTACTAAAAGGCATACATCTATTGTCAGTCTCAATTTTTGTCATGTTTAAATGCATATCAATAAAAAGCACATGAAAATTTTGTTTTAAATGAAGCATAATGACACTAGTGACAATTAGATATATGTGAGATTCCTTTATTAGCAATAGCCCAGTTTTATGGACTTAATGAAAGCATAATTCAAAACAGTGTTATGCATTCTTGCTTTTCTGTATTGTTGAATGCACAATATCTCAGTCTAGTTAGCGGGTAAGGTTAATCATGACAATCACAGCTGGTAAATGTAAGTATTCCTGAGCCCAACACTTTTACTTCAATACTATCGAATACTAGTTTGCTCTTGTGCCTTGTTCCATTTCTATTGTTTTTTTTTATTTATAAAAATGATGCCTAACTTATTTTTATTCCGTAATTGCGGTACACCAAGGCCAGATGTGTGGCCTAACAAAATGTGTATATGTAGACTCTGTTCTGTGGGCTAGCTTGTACAGTCTTGCTTTGTTGATCCAACTGATAAAAGGGTAAATATCTGCAGATTGGACTCAAGAAGTATGCTCTGTCCATACCTACCTATCTTGTTAATATCACTAGATTCATTAGACCCTACTCTTACAAATCTGCATCTCTTAGAAGTATCACACTCTTATAAGCTTTCCAGTGCTCATGATAGCATGTTCTTTTAACAAAGTTAGTTTTCCTATTTTGATCAAAAGGAGATTCATTTGTGGAAGAAGAAAAAAAAGGTTGCAGCTTGTACTTTCAGATGATGCTGCCTGTATTTTGCACAGCTAAGAGTCATCTCAAAGTACCTTGGCTGCAATGTTGCTTAATGATTGGAATCAGATATCTAATTCTTCAAAAACCTGAATTGTGCTATTAGATTTCATTGTGTAGGCCACACAAGTAATTTTATTTGTACCACAATTTAAAAAAATAAAAATTACAAATAAGTTTTCAATATATATTCACAACACAGTGTACCAGATAAAATACATCTAAATAATATTGAAAAATTATAAAATGCATAGCAAAAACTAAAAATGTCAGCTTAATTCCAAATGCTTGGTGGCCTAGAAGAATCTTAAGCTTGACAATACTGCAAATTCTGCTCCTTAGAAGGGTATTGTCTGCTCAGATTGTAAGCATATGGTGGCTATTTTCTGAAAGAAAATTAAGAGTTTTAACTTGAATGTTGTGCCAGGGAGGGAGGTTGTGTGTGAGAGTGCGTGTGTGGGCATGTGTGTGTGTTTAAGAAAGATATCAAAATCTAGGTTCATGTGAGGTTTCATATAAAACTAACAAGTCTACATGCATGACACCTCCCAAAAAAAGCCACTATAGAGCTGCTTATTGAGCCTGCCACTGGAATTTTGCAGGTAAAATATAGGTACAAAGAACCCAGTTGGAAGTGCCCAATGTACCCAAGCTCCCAGACCTGGTGTACTAAGATGCACAAGCAAGCTGTTCTCACCTGTACGTCACAGATTAAAACATCAAATGTTCCAACAGTGTAAGAAGAACTTGCACAGGGGGAAGACTTGTATGTACCAATACTATATATGTCAATTAGATGAAAACAGCTTTCCTAATTCATTGCCCTGTATTTTAGGCACTAACTTACTGATTCCTGAATGTAAAAGACAGAGCACAGACAACTATCATGTCACTTATTTTGTCACTTTTAAAAACTATTTTTGGCCCACTATTGGTACTGTCTTTCACAAGTTGATTCAAGGTCTGCAGAGAGTGTTAAAGTGCAGGTAAGATGGATGCAAATAATGTTGAATGGTTATTTTCCTAGAATGTACTTTCTTACCTCAGCGTGTTCTGTAGTCACTCTGTATTTGTATATGTTGCTAGAATTTAGATAATATGAACAGCAGTTTTTATGTATGAGTGAAAACCTTTTGAAATAAAATGCACAGTGTGGAAAAAGTCATGCTTATCCTGTGTTCATTCATCACAGAATTATGTACATTTCTTCTTTCCCATTCCTGTCCAAGAGCCTTTGCCCTTCCCAACCTGTGCAAGATTGCCCAGCAGCTCTCCCACTAGCCCTCAGTTTGTCCCACTTCAACCCTCTTAGCTTCATTACTTTGCAGCTGACAAAGGTGCAAACAAGAAAGAAAAATTGGAAAGCTGGGCACTAAGAGAGGTGTCAGTGCATAAACTGGGGTCTCCAATATGGTGCCTATGAAGATCACAGTAACATGGTAACTGTAAATAGAAAATAGGCCTTTTCTTTTAAACTAGGACTGAATATGTCCTCAAATAGAGCAGGATTGGGCAGAAAGTAGATCCTTTGGTGATCTGCAGTAGACCAGCAACAGGTTTTGACTCCCTGTGGTTTCAACCGCAAGAACAATGCATGGGGAAATTCCTCCAAATTAAGCATTTGAGAAAGCTTACAGAATACGAGGAGCAGGCACATGTGTGAAAGGATTACAAACTCAGATTTGGCATGAGAATAAATTCAGGGCCTAAGCATGTGCCTTAATTGTAAAGCTCATGTTTTAAAAGACCAGAGAACCATAGCCAGGTGCAACGGAAGAACAGAAAACTAAAAAGCATTGCCTCTGATTTGGAAAATGCAGGTAATGTTGATATGAGTCTTCTATTGAGAGATGAAAATATGCATCTTTCAGAAATTGCTTAACTAGTTCTCTTTATGTAGCAAGGATCAGCTGAAGCCAATGCCATCAAGTACCACAAATAAAACCCATCCTGTAGCTGTGAGGAATAATGTAGTATAATGTGTGTGGATTGTAGATTGAGGGTAGTGGTGAGGCTGGTGACTCTACATCAGTGAGGCCCCTCATCCAGCTTTAATATTAATATACTGACATCCCACTCTCTCTACTCTTATGAACCCAAGTGGGTTCACATCATCATGCTCCTCCCCATTTTATCTTCACGAACCTTTTAAATAAGTGAAGCTGAGAGCCTGTGACTGGCACATCATTGGGTGAGCTTCATGGCAAGTGGGACTGGAAGCCCGATCTTCTAAGTCCCTGTCCAGCATCTTAACTACTGCACCCCACTGGCCATCAATCCATGGAGGTGAAATGTACGTTGATGGAGACTGATACTGCAGAAAGCTTTTATGAAGCTCCGAATAAAAGCTTCATTGAAACAGTAGTTGCCAGACTCCCCTCTTCATAGCTCCTGCTTTGCTGAACGTCATTTCTTATATAAGTACTGACATTTCCTTTTCACGAAATGAATAAAAGATTTCCCACTCAATAGCTAATGGCAGATGAGAGTTGTGGCTAGACTGCATTTCATCATCATACTTAGTGCAATGTCACTGTCAAGAAAACACCATCACTCCTCCCATTCTTGTATGTTCTGGTTCTGAAGCTGAATTGCTTAAGTAGACAAAACAGCACAACCCACACAGAACAGGGAGGTATTGAAAGCCTTGAAGAAACCCCTCAGTTTGTAGACATAGAGCAAACAGGCCTGACCTTGCTTCATAAAGTTACCACTATCTTTAGCTTTAGAAAGAATTCTGTTTGTTTTAAATGATGAATCATCTGCAAAGCAGCAGGTCTTTGAAAATCCTGTGGATGGAATTAATTTTTTTTATTATCAAATTAAGCATCATGTACTCCCTGAGGACAGGGTAAAAGTGTCTTTTTTAAAAGTGCAGTGAAGGAACATTTGATACATCAAAGTTCATAAACACAAATTCACCAGGAAAAGTCCTATTTAGGCAGAGTAAGTTGGTAACCTTTTGCAGCAAGTGTCAGGAGGGTAGGAAAGATGGCAACGAGTTGGCAGTACTGTGTGTATAACTGGCCCTCTGACCCCTAGTTAAGCCAGCTCTCATTCCTTTTCCTCCATGTTTTTGAATTCATTTTAAGAGCCAACAGTTACCTTCTGTGCTCATGGAAAACACCGAGATCTTCTGTTTCATTTCAATCTATGCAACTGTTCAGCAGAGGACGTGATGCAAAAGGGTTCTTTATTGGAGAAGAATTAAGCATGACAAAAGGATCCAAAATGTATTTTTGGTACGTGCTTTTCAAAATGGAAAAGCAACCTCAGTTTAGCCAGAGGAGACAGAGTACAGGGTGACTTGAATTCAGCTAGAAAAATTATTATTAAAAGAGTCCCAGCTTTACAGAGCCCTCTCTGCACAGTTTGATCAGTCCCAGTTCTAGTAGTTCAATTGTTTCTTTCCTTATCTAAAGAAAATAAAAATGTATTTACATCATTTAAATATTATTGTAAGACATGTATACAAACATTTGTTGCTTTTTCACATTTGAAAACACATAGTAAATTTTTACAAATGAAACCTTGCATTTCACCCTTTCTAAAATGTATGCAACACTTCCATAAATATTTACAAATGAAACATCTACATGCATATTAATGTTTGTATGTCTATCAATTCTTATGCCAACTGCAAAGATGGTACTGACTGCATATATTAATTTCATACTGAAAAAGGCCACAAGGGGGAACCTTTTCCCCTCTGTTATTGAAACTTGGTGCAATCTCTACCACTTAACTTTCAGAAATTATTTTAACAAAAAATGCAATCCTATGTGTGTTCAGACAGAAAGAACTATAAAGCCCTACCTCTCCTTAAGATCTGGTGTGGAAGTTACGCTGCTATTTTTAGTGTAAAATTAATTTTATAATCGTTTTTAATTCTGATTGTGAACCGCCTAGAGTTGCTATGGCACAATAGGCAGCATACAAACATTTTAAATAAATACATAAATAAATAATAGAGTGCAGAAATTATAGGACCATTGTACTAATTTCCCATGAAAACATAGTGATGCTCAAGGTGTTGCATAGGATTTGCCATATTTAGAGCAAGGCATGCCTGATGTTCAGGTTGGACTCCAAAAAGGAAGAGGCACACAAGAGCATATTGCAAGTATATCCTAGCTAATGGGGTGCACCAAATATTTTCATAAAATGTGTTACAAACTACAGTAAAGCCCTTGTACGTATCATGAGAAGCTATGGATGATTCTGAAAGAAATGTGTGTGGCCTCAGAACTTCATTGTCCTAATGTTTAACCTGTATCATGGACAAGAAGCTCCTGTTGGGATAAAATATGGAGAAACAGGTGATCTTATAGGCAATGGTATCAAACAAAGCTGTATTTTATATCCTTATCTGTTTAATCTGTACACAGAATATATAATGAGGAAAGCTGTATTAGCATCAGAGGAAGTAGAGAAAATAAGCAGATAATACACCCATAATTCAAGATGATGACGTATTACTGGAAGAAAGCAAGTATGCACTGAAAAAACAACTAATGAAAGAAGATGCAAAAAGTATGATTCCAGCCAAACATTAAGAAAACAAAAATAATGACTACAAAAGAATTACACCACTGAGGAAACTAATTAGAAGAAAATTAAGACTTAGAATGGCAGCAATGAAAGGACTAGTGTTAGGAGGCTACACTATTACAGAATCATAGAAGAGTAGAGTTGGAAGGGGCCATGAAGGCCACTGGGTCTAACCCCCTGCTGTTGCAGGACACCAGTTACATCATCCCACTCAGATGGCTGTCCATTTTCTTTTTAAATGTCTCTAGTGTGGGGGAGCCCACCACCTCTTTAAGCACCTCTCTATATTCCTGATCATAATGTATGGATGTGAAAGCTGGACACTTAAGCAAAGCCAAGAGGAAGAAAATCAATGCATTTGAAATATGGTGCTAGAGGAGAGCTTTGTGAATACCCTGCACTAACAGAAAGCTGAACAAGTGCATCCTAAATCAAATCAAGCTAGAACTTGTCCTGGAAGCAAAAATGACAAAACTGAGGATGTTGTACGTACTTCAGGCACATCATAGAAAGGCAAGGCTCACAGGAGTAGACAATATTGTTATGAAAACTTGAAGACAGAAAAAGAAAAGGAAGACCAACTATAAGATGCATGAATGTCATCACCACCACCAAAGTGTTATAAATGGAATTGCTGCTCTTACTAACATTTGTATTTGCTTTTGGAACTCTGATCAAAAAATGGAAATGGGACACACAAAGATGGATAGATGAATGGAAGAATGCAAGGACTGAGAGTGAAATAGTAAATTACCTTTTTAGGTGTACATTATCAAGACTAAGAATATGACAAAGGGGTTTTATACACATGCATCACAAACATAAGGAATCATGATTGGGTGCACCTCCTGTTTGACGGTATACTTAATGGCAACCCAGGAATGCCTCTGTATAATGTGTAAATCTGGACTGGTCATCTCCAGTGTGTAAGAGAAACCTAAAACAAGTCTTGAACTGGGAAATTGAAGGTATGTAAAAATTCATTTGTTTGTTTAAAATGTTGCACTTCACTTGTATTTATAGAATGTAGAATGTAGAATAGAATATTAAGAAGGATTTTCTAACTTTTTTTAAAAAAAAAGGTTGGATAATTGCTTTGTACCTCAGGGATGTCAACTAATCTTCTTAACTTCTGATCTCTCCAATTCCAGTCTAAGATGAGATACTTCAAAGGTGTCAGGTTAAGACCATCTGAAAAGATAGATTAAGACATTAATAGTGATAGTCAGAGGTACATGTCAAAACTCTTCTGGCTTCCAGCTTCCTTGCTGTCCAATCACAAGGCAGCTGATCTTTGCAGTATTTAGGCCTTGGTTAGCAGCTATAGCATGATTCTTATACAGTTCTGAATATTGAATCAGACCTAGGCCTTTTCAATAGCTAAACACAAAAGGACAACAGATACTAACTAATCCCTACTCTGTTGCAGTGACCAGTTCCCCAGATATCTGCTTTATAAAATTGCAAGAGTTGAGATTTTGTTTGCAAAATTTATATGTCACTTTTCTGTTCAAATTCCTTAAGTGCTACATCATAAGCAGTCCCATGCCAGTGATGTAATGATTTGCAGAGGGCAGGTAAGTTAGTCTATTGAAGCCAAAAGAACCAAAAATCTTAACGATAATAATCATCAGTACTTCTTACACTGAAATTTCTTCTAACTCTCCCTCCATAAATAATGTATACAAAATCCTGAAACTTTCCATAATTGTCCACGTATCTGCATTTACAATCCTATCACTGCTATTTTATGGCAATCTTCTCTGCTTCTTTAATTGTCTGTCTTTTGATTTCATTATTCTTATATTATGCTTTGCATTTTGTTGCCTTATGTGCAAACTACCCTGAAAATATTTTTATTGAAGGATATAAATGAATCCTTACAATATGTATGTAAGTATGGGGTTGCAACCAAAATGCTCAAAGTTTGTTAACCAGCTAGAAATTAGGTTAAGAGGGAGACCTAAGTAACCTTAATGGAAGCTAACCTGTGTGCTAATGTATCCCTTTGCTCCGACAGGGGAGGGGTGCAAGCAGAAAGTGTGAAGGTCTGCAGCTAGCTTTTCATCTCTTAACTGAGGTTAAGCAAGAGACAGGGTGACCATATAGAATTCTCATGAATGGAAAACTGACCATACTTTCAACACTTCTTTGTGCATCCTGCAAATACCAAATATAGTATTTGCAGTAGATGGTACAAAACAAGCACAAATCCTCATTTAAAAACAAGGAAAACAAAAACATTCATAACCTGTCTTTTTTATCTCTTAGAAGGAACCCACAGAAACTTAGATTGCCCTTCTTTCCATTTCATCCTCAAAACAACCCTGTGAAATAGGTCAGGCTGAAGTCACTTACTGAGCTTTCTTGCTGGGCTGGGACTAAAATGTGGATTGCCTGAGCCCAGGCTAATGTTCTAACCACTAGATTATTTATTAATTAATTATTTTTACACTGCATTTCTATATTTCTTTCTTTTGCCAGGAACCCGGGAAAGCTAACAAGATTGTCCTTCTCTCCCTTTTATCCGCAGAACAAGCATCCTGAAAGGTAGGTTATACAAAGATGAAGTGATTGGTCCAAAATCACCTTATGACTTTCATAGCTGAGTGGGGACTACAATCCAGACAGCATTATTAACCACTGCAGTTCTCCATTCTGGAGCCTATTTTGAACAGAAAGACCACTGAAGGTACGTTTATGACCACAACTGTTTCTCTGGGCATAGGTAAAGCATCTGGAGAACTCTCTGTGATATGGATGCACTCCACCCTATCCTAAGCCTCTCCAGCAAGTGTATCCTGGGTCAGGGCTGCTCTTTTGACTCATTAAACCATTCCCGAGTTTAACACTTAATTTTCATTATTGTCCTTTTCTACCTTGCTCCACAAGGGCTTTTATCCTTCCAGGTGTTCCAACTCCCACGTGAATAACACTTTTCTCCAGCATCTTCATCTGTTCTTGAATCTGTTTCAGGAAAACAAAGACAAAATGCTGCATCAGAAAGGGGGAAAATCAAGATTTTTTAATTCCTTTCACAAACTTAGCAACTTATTAGATGCAAAAAGAAATCTCTAACAAGACCTTCAGCATTGTTACATAGAAAAACAAGAATGCCAATGGAAACATTTCAAGAAGAAAAGGAAAGTAAACTCCTCTGAACGTAAACAATGTTTGTATTCTTTTAATATGCCATGGAACATTTTCTGCTTTGCCAGTATTGTATTCATTTTCCCCACTACAAACAACTGAAAAAGTCAGTATACCATGGAACTGAGAAATGCACGTCTCTATAAAGTTAACACCAGGTCATCAGAGGACTGTCTTCTGAGAGTGTTTCCAACAGAGGTTTGCACATTACATTGTTAAGTAAGACAGGCACATGTCCACCCTTAATGTAAAAATAATGTGAAAATTGCCACGGTAAGAATTTCATTTAAAGTACCAATATGTGTGCAAAGTCTTGTGTTTAAGAAAACAAATGAGAAGTGTGAGTAAGGAAATGAGAAAATGTACAGTGATCTTGTTTCCACTTGATTTGGTCTGAAATCAAGCCCAATGATGATGATGTTTTGCTGCACAAGGAATATTGTACTACTTGAGGTCCCAGAATGATGCACTGAAATATTCAAAGACAACCAGTTATACTAATTAAAAGTTTTGCGACAAAGACAATGACATGGCAGCTAAACAGTGGTCTTTATAACAATAAAGTTCCAGTTCTTACCTTTATGTGTTTCGCAAACAATTTCATTATCTTTCCATCTCCTTTGAATGCTGTTATTGACCTAGAAGATAAAATTCTTTCAGAAAAGAAACTAGCCCACTCACTTCCATATTTATAACTACACAGGTCTACCTTTTCCTTACTCTGTCTCTTTGGGGCTAGCGCTTTTGCTAATAGTGTCAGGCTTACCAGTCCAGGGGAATTATTGTAGGCTTCAGGTATGAGAAGGCTGGGTTTTGAAGCTAAAACAAACCCATGGCAAAGAGAGAGAAGGTTGAGACTTTTGTCAGACTTTGGCCAAAATGGATGGAAGAAGCTAAACACAGTGACAAAGCACATACCGTGCACAGAGAAGGCCCCAGGGTCAGTCACCAGCATCTTGGGTAAAAGTATGTCTGGCAGCAGGTGATGGGACAGACCCCTCTCTGCCCAAGATCCTAAAACAGGGCTAGAAAACACTGGCACCCCTGGAGTTTAATTCTCCCTGCTAGATCCTACTGTAGGCTGAACTCCTCTTCACTACTGAAATGGCCCCAGTACTGCCAACTTTGCTGCTGAAATTCAGTAGTGTGGGGGTCAATTTCCTTTAAAACAAAGCATGCAAGCACAACTCTGTTTGAAAGCAAACTGTGCATTTTCTACTCTCTTTTCTGTGGCTGCTGAGCTATTAAGAAGCTTTTTTTTGCCACTGCTGTACTGCCAGTTGACTTGGAAGGAGGCAGATGCCATTTGCTGTTCTGCTCCAGGCAGCAAAAATGTTTTGGACCAGCCTGGCTTATGCAAAGGTATGAAAGAGTTCCACATCACTGAAATGTCAGCTTTTATACAAATATGAAAGGCAAAGTAGCTCTTTCCCCCTTCTATTTAATTAAAACAAGCCAATCCACAAATGGACAAAACAAGAAAGAAGTAGCAGTGTCACTGGTGAAACCCAGATAGGCCCGTATTTCAGACACCATTCCATATGCAACAAGTGATGTGCACTGTTGTTGTTGTTGTTGTTGTTTTTAAAAGAAGACATTGTTTTACATTTGCAATACAGATGCTAGGCAAGTAAGTTACACTTGTTCAAGTATTTCAGAACACAGCCTAGAGAATAAGTCTGAAGTATTCCAACTGCAACTCAGCCAGCCAGCAGAGAACAGAGTCCTAGTTTTGCCTTGAGTCCACTGGTTATAAGGAAAACCCCAGAAAGGGCGCCAGCTTTTATTACATCAGCTAATGACATACTTGATGAGTTCCAGGCAGCGAAGGGCAGAGCTGCAGATTACTAGCATCACCACTGACGACTTCTCTGTGTGGTTTTTACGAAGCTTCGCCCACTTGGGGCAGACTGTAGTGTGAAATACAACCAGCATCAAGAGCAGATATTCCAACAGGCACAGCAGTGCCTAATTACATAGCAAGATGTTGAAAAGAAAATGTCAGTCAGAGTACAGGCTGCCACATGTTTATGCTCGCTTGTTTTGTAAAACCAGTGTTGCCCCTTTCTCATCTTTTGCACAAACTGTGGTTCTCCAGTTGGAGAAAATGCAGGGGTGGACAAAAGGCAGATCTGCAGATGATCATTAGCAATGCTGCTAGAGCTCTTGGGAGCTGAAATCCAAAACAACAGATCTACCCTCTGCTCACCCCTGCAACAATATGCTACACTGCTGCCAGGTAAGAAGCACTCTCTCTTTTGCTTAATGCTTTATGCAACTTAGAAATGAGGAAAGTACTGTAGCAGTGACAAAGGTCCACTCTACAACTCAACTCTCCCCATAGGGAAAATGCTACTTACCTTATGCAGGTAGGTAAGTTTCAAACTTCACAGCAAACAAAGCCAATGTAAAGTCAAAGAGATGTTAATGGACAAGACATTCAATCTTCTGGGTTTATCCCCATTGTTAATCTTGTTTAACGTTATTGATTTCAGTATCATTTACATACAGAAATTACTGATACTTAATTTACTGTTTGTCACAAATTTTTTTTGGGCTAACAGTGGAAGAACACTGTCCCCTTCGATCTGGAAAAGGTTGATTAAGTGTTTGGATATTGCAGAAATCAATACATGAATGGAGTCTATACACAGAAACGGGGTATTAACAAATAATTAACACTGGATTATTCTGTACTGAAATAGTCACTGTGGTTATATAAATCTTGGCAAATCACTGTTCTTGTTATAACTAGAAAAGATGTTTTCTTTTTTGCTTGCTCTGGATTTGATAGATTTGTAAATTAAATGCAATACTAATAACGATAGCAATGTTCAGTCTCCCAAATAATATCATATTATATGTGCATATACAGAGAAATATTTAAGGTTAAATTGCAACACTTCTAGTATAAAATGAAGAGAAAAATAAAATTAATATATAACACTTATGGCGATATGTTACCTTGATATTTGTTATTGCAGTGATCTATGCATCAGCATCACTTTCTCATAAATATAATTGTTGTTATGTCCTTCCTTGGATCTTTTATACTAGGTCATGGAGCAGAATACAGGTCATGATCTACCAGTTGATTACATGCCTTTTAACACTCAAGCACAAGGTTGTGTTTGGTCCTCCCCACCTTGTCGGATTATATTAGCCCTATGGAATCCTGTGTTTCAGGATTGTATGTTGCTGCTGTCACCTACTGCATCTTAAATTTACTCCCATTCTGTCACAACTGGATGACAGTTACCAGCAAACCCTGTGCATTCACAGGCTCAGTGCATGAGCAGGAGTTACCAAGGCAAGAGAGACAGGGAGGCACAGCATGGTTGCCCAAGGCCAATCCATGTATTTGCTGACTTGCTGGCAGCTGGGTGGAATGAGACCACACCTGAACACTGAAGGAAGTAGGAAAAATTAATTTTATTAAAATATTTCGGGAAAAGAATAAAGATTAGAACTACAGCTATAATATGGCTTAGTGATCAGCTACTCACTCTCTTTCAGGTAGGAAGAAAAGCTGTGGGTGAGGTCATTGGCAGGGAGGAAACAGGCATCTGAAACCACAAGAGACAACTATTGTTGCTTGTCATTACAAATAAGACCTTAGCCTAAATCTTGCAGGAATGTCTATTTGCCAAAAGCCAAGAAAAGTGCTCTTTGGGAAGACAGAGTTTCACAAGTGCTTAGAGCTAATAGCAAGCAGCTTTACAGCAGATTAACCAAATGATGAGAACAACTTTTAGCCCCATCTAGATTCCTTCCAAAATTGTCTCACCATTATCCATATACATAGTTTTGCTTAATTGGGTGTATGTGCTAGAAGAATCTCACAACTTTCTTTATACAGAAAGCACTGAAGCACTATGTACTACCAGAAAATGATACAGTTCAACTTGGCACTCCACTAGCCAACCTACTGAAACATTACTGCTTCACAGTTCCATTATTAAAACCCTTTGGAAATTAGACCACACCTCCTAAGTTTGTCTGTAAATGTCCTGGAAAAGTATCCACAGATAAATGCAGAATTCCTTCTTTATATGTAAGGTAGGTAGACTTGACTCATGTAAAGTTTTAGATGAAAGAGTTGTATGCTGAGTATCAATGCAAACACATGTGAAGGTATTAGTGTGAACTAGTGGTGTTTACATAGGATGCTGCACAGTATTTGGCCATAACCATTTGCATGATTGTGGTACCTTGGATGGGAATGGGGATAATGCTCCCACAATCACACAGCAACCAAATCCTCATGTGTGCATGGAGGTACTTGTTCAGACACAAATCACATATATATAAAGTATTAACCATGTGCACGTCTGCTTGTAGGGTGCTTTGTACCAGCAAATGTGAACTATTTTCTTGTTGCTTCTGTGAGAAGCTGTGGGACAATAGCTAAGAAACATGGAGAAGAAAGGAAGGTGGTAGTTCAGGTCATCAAGGAAAAGACTTTTCCTCCTGATGGAGGTAGAAGAAAGGTGAGCAGAACCATAGGACAACAGTTAGAAATACATTCTATGAAATTCATTTTAAAAGGCACAATCTTATACACCAAAAAACTGAGAACTCCAACTTCCTGCATGTCTCAGTCAGCTTCACTGGGAGTTCCAGGACATTTTTTCTGTCTAAAGTTGAATAAAATTGCAAGTCATGTTTTGTTACAAACTGATATGTATGTTCCTTGTCCATTCTTAAAGATAGATCTTTTCTAGTATTTTTATTACCTGGCAATTTTAATTCTTCTAGTTCAATCACTGAACGTTTAGCACCGAAGTGATCCTTAAGAAGTTGTTGTAAGTCTTCAGGGGATCCTGGTTTTGGAGATGACTTAGCAAGCATATCAGATATTTTCTTCTAAAGAAATGAAAGAGACATATTCAATAAATTGGTAATTTTGTATTATTTGCCTATTATTCTTTTCTATTTCTGCTAGCCTGCTAATGACAGGTCTTATCCTTATATTCATTTCATTTTGTTACAACCTAGAAGAATCCAGAAAGATAGGATTCAGTGTGAACATTGGAGAAGGGTGTGGCACAACAAAACACTACATAGCAACAGTTGCTTTTTCACCCCCACACAACTTTAGGCCTCAAGTCTATGGCTATTGTCAGGATTCAGCGAGTGGGGGAGGGATTATTAGGAGTTCCAGCTTTGGGGTCCTGTGATCTTGTGCCGTGACTCTGAAGGCTGAGCCCCTCTCCAAGAAGAGGAAAAGGGGTGTGCTAGGAGAGGTTGGAGGAGGCTGGAACCAAAAGCTTATGTGATATATTTAGATGGTGCCCTTGCTTCCTCCCTCCCTCTCCCCAGCACAAAAATGCCTTTCTAGATGAAACACAGGATATGAAGGCAGGGAAGAGCACTGATGCTGTGCCTCGCTCTGTGCACTGAGGACAGGGGGCACGGCATTGTGCCTCCAGGCCTCCGCAGCATCTTGCAAAATGTGGAGCCATATGGAAAAGCAAAGGCATGTTTTTCAACATGTCTTCACTGGCACCCACAAACCCTGCTCAGCTGTTCAATAGGTTCCTATAAACAACAACCATCAAATGAAAAAAAGCACACAACTACGGTTGCTGAACTACTGAATTCTAATGTGCATGCAAAAAACTGAAAACATGTCCCCATATAAGATTTCAAATATTTCAAAAACAAAACAATCCTGCAGAGACAATGTAAGTATATTTCCACATTAAAGGTCCTGTGATTCATAAACAGGCAATCACAGTAACAAAAAGCTCAGGCAATGTACCTATGAAATGTGTGAATGTGTTTGATTGTAAATTATATGAAACCTTAGATAAGGACAGGATTTTAATGTTTTTGTAGAGTACTGACCTTGGCTATTCAATAGCAGCAAGTGCCAAAATTCAATTAAATATTACCAGATGTCCATAGTTCTGTTTCCTTTGACAACAAGTTACTTTCTAAAACATTGATACTTGCTTATTCAAAAATAAGAACTTGCTGCCTTCAGTGCAACATCACCTGTGCATATGAGTGACAGCACTGGGGGGGGCAATTATTGGTATTAATTGTTGGGTCTTGCATATTTGGATTTTACTCCATGTACAAAACATATCCATGCTTGTAATTGATAAACCTTTGCATGCATTCAGCCGTTTAATGGCAGTACTTGTTCAGTTTTTTGCCTTTCAATTGTTTTGCATAATGAGAGTTGTAGTCCGCACATCTGTAGTCCAGGTTGAGAAAGGCTGTTCTATATGATTGCCCCAAGCAACTGTTTTCAAATTTCCAACTATACAAGAAAGAGACAGCTGAATGGCTTAAGAAGGGCCTTAAAATGACTCAGACACTTTGCAGCATCCATTCCTATACTTGCTAAGACCAGAGTTTTGAACATATTTAAAGCTTTTCTTAAGTATGTTTTATACACTCAGAAAAGTATACATAGATAAGAATCTAACATAGATCAATGGCACTCAATTCACTTAAAATCTGGGGTATGGGGGTTGGTGGGAAGGAGAGAGATAGCTATTTCAAGGGATATTACGTCATTCACTGAGTCACTCAATTCCTTCAGGAAAATAATGGTCCTCTTGAGGGTGATGCTAATATTAACAAGAAATTCCATAACAGTAAGAACAAGGACACCTGAACATATTCCCTTCCTTCAAAGGGAGTTTGTGGGGGGAAATGTTCTTCACACAGGAAGTTTTATTATTTTGCTCCTAATTCATTCCAGATGTTAAAGAGCAAAAGATGTAAAAAGAGAATGACTAGGGGGGTGGGAAAGGAGGAGACATTTGTTGGGACAATATAAATTATTATGATATCCATGCCACATTGATTTCCTCACAACTTGCTCATGTCAGGATTCAGTGCTATGTTCCTAAGGCATTCCATCCTTCTCCAAACCGGTGTCCTCCAGACAGACTTTATATTCCATCAGCCCTAGCCAGCATGGCTAATGGTCAGAGATTCTGGAAGCTGAAGTCCAAAACATCTGGTGATCTACTTTCTGCCCACCCAATACAGATAATGTTGACATTGTCCTATATGAAAGCTCTATCCATACAACAAATGGCTACACATGAAGTACAGGGGCTGAAAAAGACTTCCACTGAGTTGCTTTCATAATTACCTAGAGCAAACCATCACTTTTCCTAAGGAATGCCATGCATCACTCATTTTCAAATACAAGAAGCAGAGCAAGTTTGAGATTTAGCATGGTATCTCTAACTGTGTGAAGCCAACAGCCAAAATTTTATACTGTTTACTTCAAAACTAGTGTTGTTATGTGCCATCAAGTCATCTGTAGTTTACGGCAACCATATGAATGAATGCCCTCCAGAATGTTTTGTCTTACACAACCTTTCTGAACTGAAGGTTGCAGTTTCCTTTATGGAACTGATCAGTGTCCACTTTTCCCACCCATACATAGTGATCAGGAATAGAATAGTGTGGACTATCTTGGGCTTGGTCTCTGCTGAAACATTCTTATACTTGATGATCTGTTTTACGTAGTTCTTTAATCGCTGCTCTTCCAAATATCATTCTTCTTCTAACTTCTTGTCTGCATTGTCCCTTTGAATTGATAACTGAGCCAAGGTAAGCAGTATTTTCACAATTCCAATTTCTTCACGGTTGGCATTATAGTTTAACTCTTTTATAGTCAAGATTTTTATTTCTTAAAGTCCTGCTTTTGCATCTTCTTTCATTTTCAACAGGAGCTGTTTCGAGTTACTGCTGCTTTCTGTCAGTAATAGAAAAAATATGCGTACCTTAAATTATTGATGTGTCTTCTGTCAATTTCTACTCCTTCCTCTGATTCTAGAACAGCTTCCCTTGTGATAGTATTTTTCATGTATGATGCATGATAGACAAACACGGAGAGCCACTGTGCTATAGTGGTTAAGAGCGTGGGACTGAGACTCAACCAACCCGAGTTCTGGTCCCTGCTTGGTCATGAAGCCAACTGGGTGACTTCAGGCCAGTCACAGATTCTCAGTCCAACCTACCTCACAGAGGATGAGACTGAGAGCAGCAGGGGGAGAATGATGTAAGCCACCTTGAGTTTTTTAATTGTTTATGAAAAAAGCAGGGCTATAAATCAAATAAAAAATAATTATGTTCTATGCACAGATAAACAGATAGGCAGATAAAGTACATCCTTGTTTGATGCCATTGCCTATAGGAAATTATTCTGGTTCTTTATATTCTATCTTTACAGTAGTTTCTGGTCCACAGTACAGGTTATCCATCAGGACAATTAAGTGCTGAGGCACACCCAATTCTTTCAGAATTATCAATAACTTATTATGATCCACACAGTCATACACTTTGCTGTAGTCTCTAAAGCACAGACCGATCTGAAATTCATTGGTGTGCTCCAGTTGCCAATGCATATTAATGATATGCTGCAAGGTATGGCTGTGAAAGCTGGACCATAAGGAAGACTGAGCACCAAAGGATTGAGGCCTTTGAATTGTGGTGCTGGAGGAGACTTCTGCGAATCCCCTGGACCTCAAGGCAATCAAACAGGTCAGTCCTAGAGGAGATCAACCCTGACTGCTCTTTAGAAGGCCAGATACTGAAGATGAAACTCAAACACTTTGGCCACCTAATGAGAAGGAAGGACTCCCTGGAGAAAAGCCTAATGCTGGGAACAATAGATGGCAAAAGAAGAAGGGGACGGCAGAGAATGAGGTGGCTAGATGGAGTCACTGAAGCAGTTATTGTGAGCTTAAGTGGACTCCGGGGGATGGTGGAGGACAGGAAGGCCTGGAGGAATGTTGTCCATGGGGTCGCGATGGGTTGGACACGACTTCGCGACTAACAACAAAATTAATAATATGATCTCAAGTGACTCTTCTTTTTTGAATCCAGCTTGAATATCAGGCATTTTTCACTCCATATCTGATAAATCTTTTGTAGAAACACCTTAAGCATCACTATTGCATTGGAAATTAGTGCAATGTCTTGTAGTTGCTGCACTATTCAGTAATAGATATACTATACTATAACTATACTAACTATAGTACTATACTGAATAACTATACTATTCAGTATAGTTGTTGCACTATTCCATTATTGCATTGGAAATTAGTGAAATGTCTTACAGTTGCTGCACTATTCAGTATGCCCTTCTTTGGAACTGGAATACATATTGATATTTCTAGAATGTGGACCATTGTTTTGTTTTCCATACTTGTTGAAAACAAGTATGGAACATACATTTTTGTTAGGGTTTGGACTGATTCATTCTTTGCAGCTTGGAATACTTTTATCGGTATTCTATCTACTCCAGGTGCTTTATTCCTTCCAAGTGCTTTTAGAGGAGCTTTCACTTCACTTTCTAATATTGTAGGCCCTTCTTCAAAGGATTCATCTTTGAAGGAGATGGTCATTTTTATACCTCTTCTACATAATACTTCCCTATATATCTCTTCTGTATAATACTTTCCATATTCTCTTTATTCTGTCAAAATAGCATGTTCCCCTGTTGGTCTTTCAGCATTGCTAATCTTGGTTTGAATTTCCCTTTAATTTCTTGGATCTTCTTCTGTTGTTCTTTTTTATTTCTTTGTACTGGTCCTTGTAATAATTCTTTTTGTCTTTACATTATAGTCACTGAAAAGTTGCATTCAGAATTCTGAGCCTATTTTTGGCATCTTTTGCTTTTCAGTTGTTCTTAGCAATAGTGGCTGGACCTTCACTTTCTTTTCCTGTAGGAACTGTCTTCTTGCATTCTTTCCTAATGTGGTCTTTCAGTCATCAGTTCTCCTGCTTGATGGTCAATTGAATTCAATAATGCCCATTTGTTCTTTATACAGACTTTAAATTCCTCAGTGATGTTACTTAAGTTCTATTTTGTCACTTTTATGTGTTGTGCAGCATCAGACTTTCCTTTCCCCTCTATGCATGTCAGCCCCTAGTTTCCTTTCAGCTTTGATCAGGTTGTCTCATTAGCTGCAGTTCTTTGTTCTTCCCCAGTGGCTGGTTGGGTGTCTTCTGACCTGAAAGTCTCATCTTCTGGTACTATCTCTTTTTTCATTTTGAATTATTTCATCATAGTGTTTTCAAAGTAGGAAATCTTGGAAAGTGGTTTATTACTGCCTTCCTCTGTGCAATATCAACCAGCTTGAGTCCTCTGCTGTTGTCTGTAAAAGATCCTCCTCCAGGGTTGTCTTTAGCACTGCTGCGTAGTGGCAGCCTTTTAGGAGTTTCTCTGCTCCCATCACTTCTCTTCTGTTGATAAAACCATTACTCCTTAGGAAGCTGGATGCATTTAAGTCTGGTGTCTCCACTGACTATTTTATCTTTGCTGACCCTGCCTAGGTGACCAGCCTAGTGAGATAGTTCCTGGCAGCACTGCTCATGGCTTCCCTGACACTCTCAAGCCCCCTTATCACAATAAGATGTGGATCCAAGAAGGGGTAGTCAGAATAAGTGCTTAATTTTATGCCCATTGAACTTACATCATCACAGCAAAGTATTGTTTCTACAGCAGTGACATCCTAGAGCTGACATCTCTGTCAGAACTTTTCTTCCCTATCAAACAAGTCTCTTCCTGTTCTAGTCTACAAGCAACAATGCCAAGATGAATTAGCCACTAATTTTAGAGATCTTTAAAAGGGGACTAGACACTTTTATGATTATGATAATTTTGTACTGTCTAGGGTCTCTGCCTGCCAATCATGACCAGAGCAATGATCTTCTGTTTCATACCCACTCACCCCTGATTTACTGGAGTTTACCATCCTCCAGTGGGCCACCTGCTTTCTCTAGCCACTGAGCATCCTCAGTATTCAAAGGACTGTTTTGTTGATTTTCCCCTCACAAACCCAGTGGACATATAACTAGGATCTTTGTACAGGATAGCATGAATGTTGTGGTAGTTGGATTAACATATTAACTATTTGATGGCATATAACAGCAACCAGTTCTTTCTTTTTCTATACTCCATTACTCATCTCTCTCTATACTCTTATATTGCTCTAGTCATGACTTGAAGAATGATTTAGCTCAAATATATTAATGGAGAAAAATGAAACAAAGTAATATTGAACTGTATCCTTGCTTTAATAAAACCATTGATGGCTGTGAAACAACACTCTAATCAGTTGTGTGGAAGGAGACAGGATCAGCATTAATGCTAATAAAGCATTTGTTTGCATGGTCTTTAAAACAAATCTGTTTGAAGACAGCATCTAGTATAGCAGTGAGCACCCTGGAAAATCTCTTATAAGTATTTATGGAAGGAAATACAGATTTTAGTGACAAGAAATCATTTTCATTTCAGTGAGTACAGTATATGCAAATAAATAGAAGGGGTTTTATTAATTATAAAAATGATTGAAGAGATACATAGAGTTATAAAAAGCAATCTAAGGGTTATATACAGTTGTTGCTATTTGCATTATTAAATAAGCATTTACTATTGCTAATATTATGCAATCAAGTTGTGCATTTAATTTTATCATTTACAACTATTTATTTAGTTGTATCAAAATAGTGATTAAAATTGGAAGCATTAACATTGAAATATTAATTAAAAGTTCATACTTTTCTTCTCCTCTTTGGCTTCATTTCAGAGTCAATGTTATCCTTAGGCTCCTCTTTCTCTGCAGTGAGGATGCATTCTGTAGGCTGGAAGGAAGTAAAGGAAAGAAAGGAAGATTAGCATTTGGACCAGGTTACAGCACCACAAAAATACACTCTTGAATACACCCAAGATGATGTGGAAATTAGGCACATGCTGTGGCTGCCAGGACCCGCCAGAAAATGAGAAGCTTTTAGATCATGCTCTTTATCAACTAACATCAGCATGGAACTGGAGGAAATCGAAAGCATACTGCAGATGGAGATAAGCAGGAAACTTTAATGGGAATAGGGCAGGTTTAAAATTAAAAATGAAAACAAGCCAACAGCTACTGAGTTTATCATAACATAATGAATGAACTATACAAAATGTTACCAGCTGGTTAACGGAAAGCTTTAAATGCAAAGGAAAATAACAACATTTGGCACTGAAGATACAGACTACTTGATGGAATAAATGTACTCAGAAAGTGATTTTTATTCCACCTTTTGGGAACTAGTTTGTCTCAGTGGATAACAGCATCCTGCCAGTTTTCTGCTGATAATGGAGAGCTGGTAACAGGCTTAGACTGGCACTTGCCCAGCAGAAGAAATAAGCAGCACAGCTAATGGGAGACCTTACATTCTCTCTTTAAAGAGGAACATGGGGCCAAATGAAATATTCTGCTAATCATGAATAGTCCATCAAATAGTCTATACTGTTACACTACTAATATCAGAGTAATATTACACTAGTAGTAATAGTACTATTGTAGTACCACTACATAGTATAGTAGCAATACTATGCTACTAGTAGTATAATATACTACAGAGACCTTTGGCTATTGGCTGGTATAAAATTACATAAATAAATACTTGAACATAAGTGCGCACAATCCTAATTCAAACTCTAAGTATACCAGGTGACTTACAGACCCGCTAAACCAAGTGCCAATGAGGTTCAGTCAGGCGGAGATTCATTCAGTTTCTTTATTCAGCTGAGCAAAGCAACCGGGTGTCCACTCCCTACACGCAGGCAGGAAGCGACACACACACATTCCTCCAACTCATCCTTCTTATAGTTTTTCCTTACTCTTTCTCACACAATCTCACCCCCATTGTTCCCTCACCCTAACCCCTCCCAGGGTCTGCCTGACCCTTCCCCCAATCCCCTTGCGGGGTCTGCATGTCCGCTGCATGCTTGGCCTCGTGCAGGTGCTTATTCATATCCAATCCTCTCACAGGGGGAGCGTGATCACCTCGTGCCAGACATTGCGTGGGGGGTCTTCTTCTTCACACTACCTCTTTGTCTTCCTTTATCACCATTCTTTTGCCTTCCCTTTTTCCTCTCTAAAGCAAGCAGTTTTACAAAAAGCAAATGGTGTTTGTTAAGCTAATCAAGCTCCTTCAGAAACTTTATGTTTTACTCCTCTCATTTTCATCCCATAGTTCATGCAACCAACACTGTTACCCCACTATAGGTGTTTTGATATGAATTTTGTTCTCTCAGTGCAAGGCTGTTGCTACGGCTCCCTCAAAGAAACGGGTACAAATAGCAGGAGTGTCACCCTCTGAGCATGAGTAAGAGTTGTGGGGAGGGAGGGTTCTTGCCAAAAGTCTCATTTCTAGATGGAGGCTCTGTACTGAGACCATAAACACGAAGGAGCTCTTGCAAGAATTTTGCTTTCCTGCCTGAGCCAGAAAGTGGTCCTAGGAGTGGAAAGCAGAAGGGAAGCACACTCTAGTTAACTGCTGTCAGCTGGGGAGTCAAGGCCACTGCAAAGCTGTACACCCTGCTTCCCAGGAATGTCAAATCAAAGAGGAGACTGATCTGGCTTATGCATAGGCCAGGGAAGTAGCAATTGCAGGGAGATCAGTTCCTCCTCCCTACCAAATAGAAAACATGTCTCTAGCCCTCAGTTGCTCTGGGACTGAAGAAGGAAGGGAAAAGGAAATAGATTCATCCACTGGCTAAAGAACAAAGAGCCTTTCTAATTATTTATATTGCATTTTATGTTTGAATTATTTAAAATTATTGTGAACTACCCAGATAGCATTGGCTACTGAGCTGTATAAAATAAATGAAATATGAATAAATGAAATGAATGAATAAATAAATAAGCAAGCAAGCAGGAAAATTAGCAAGAAAGATTCAGCCTACTTTTAAATGCCTTGATCTCCCATCTTTTCCTTTTCCCACCATTACCGTTTCACTTAATGGTAAGGCCTGGCTCTCCCTTTTTTTATAGATGTGAACTGCGTTTATAGCAGCAATAACTGTCTGAAAAGTGGATATAAATGTAGCAAATTATAAAATAAATAAAAATAAATATAGTTAGTGAGAAATAAAATCAACCAACATGTTTTCTTTTCTTTGGAGTAACGGGTTTTCGGTGCACACACTGCTGAATTGTTTTGCTTTCGCTACCATCTTCTTTAAAGGATTCATCACCAGAAGTTTCTAAAGACAAAACAGAAAACAGTTGGTCAGAAAGTTTTGACACAATCCTATCTTCGAATAATGAATTTGCATGCTTGAGTGGCCCTCAAATGGAATCAGAACAAGCTTCCAAAAATAAGGTAGTAGCTTTAACATATGCAGCCAACCTGTTAGTATCCAGAAATATCGAAGCTTGTAGATTAAATAAAAAATAAAAAACCAACTCTAAATGGCCAGACAAGATCTTATGACTATGAAACTTGTGACATATATCTGAGGAAAGAATTAAAGTTTGGGAAACAATTCCCTTCCCTGTACCTACTTGACCTCTTGGAGGGGAAGGAGATATAGTACATTTTGTTACAAGCCCAACTTGTTTGTGAAAGTCACGAGAAGAACCTTAGTCGATCAGATTCCACTTAATCAGTTACCATCCTACAAAGTGCATCATTCTGGGGTTCAAAATTAATCCTTCACCTTGCACTGGAATCTATTTGTGTTGCTCTAGCCACATGCTGAGTCAACTGCTTCCCAAGATGCCCACTGCATACTGTAAACTAGTTACTCTGAACAGTCTGTGGCTTGCCAAGAAAATCTGACAGCTAACTTTAACATTTCTTTATAAATCCTGACTTGGCATGTCCAGAAAGGGGAGAAGGAGGTGTATCCAAAGCAGAGTCATAAATAGCTCCTTCTCCTGTATCTACTTGTATATTGCTCATTATAGAATTCTAAAAGTAGACAAATGGCTTCCATGATAGCACTTTGCAAACAATGTACCACCTGTTATCTGCCTATCTTAGCTTTGGACTGAGCTGAAACATGAAATATGCTCCAGCTTAGCATACTGGCACAACACAATTATATAAATCTGAGGAAGAAGCCACTTAGTAATGTTAAAGGTCTCCTATGAAAGCACCCACGACTTCAAAGGCATCTTTACAATGCACTATGCCTTATTCTAGAAGATATAATTGGACTGAATTGAAACTGGTGGACTGTCTCTTTATTTGCAATGGTTAAACTGTCTAAGGTTTCGTAAGCACATTACAGATATTAACACATATTGTAAACCTCTCTGTAGGCTTACAATTGAATAAAATATGAGAAAAAAGGGAAAAGGAGGGAGGAGGGGTAAGAAAAACAAGTGAATTCAGATGCCCATTGTTGAAGTTAGATCACTGTCCTATGACAAGTGCCTGGAATAAAGACAGTTCAGGAAGGGGAAAAGACAAGCAGCAGCTAGTCTCTATGCTAGTGCACAGAGTTCTATGCACAGATACACAAGCGTATACATGCAGAAGAATCCCATTGATCTGAATGGGGAGAGCTGTCTGCCTTACAATACTTTAGTTCTCTGTACTAAAAGGAACAGATAGGCCATTCTGAGCTGTGGAGCTCCATGTATCAACTTACTTTAGCCTGTAAAAGATCCATAGGACCATATCCAAGTGCATATACTGTGAACTTTCTAAATAGTTTCCTAGGACTCAGCAGTATTGATTGAATAGAAAAGTAGAACCTATATTTTAATATACATAATCATAAAATGAATAAAAAGGGTTGTAAGTATTAAATTAATTCATGAATCAGATACCCTTGAGTCAGAGATAGCCAGATTTTAAAGAAACTGTGCTAAAGTAATGGAGATAATTCAGGTTTCATATACATCTGTTTTGGTTCCTGTAAATGACATTTGTCTGATAGGCTATGCCTGTAACACATTTGTGCAACTAACTAGCAGGTCATACTTTGAAGGACTACCACATGGTAGAGATTGCTGTTGTTTATATTAAAAGCCATCCACACTGATTTCTCATTCCTCATGGTTTAATCACAGCTATTCCTGCATCTAAAACCTTGACACAGAAGCCAAAATTGCCTTAAGAAACTCTGCACGGCTTCTCTTTCTATTCCAGCACTACTACAAATAAAACTTCAGATCTGCAAAGGTGATACCTTTGGAGGAAATGCCTATATCGCAAAACATTTTTGGGAGGAGGGTAATACTCTCAAAAATTTTTATTTAGTTACTATGATGCTTTCAAATATTTGATTCTAAGCTATTTCTATCCATAACCATTCCCTATAAATCTGTCCCACTTCCAAAATGCAAAGTAGTGGAAGTTCAATATGAGTAGTGCTTCATAAAGATAAATATTCATTAATTTCGGCACCAGGTAAAAACCTTTTTATTTAGTCATTATTTTAAAAATTAGCATTTTACCGTTTACAGTCACTTTATTATATTTGGTTTTGATTGGATTTGTTTCTGGGTTTGATAGTTTTATTGTATTGTTTTATCGATTGTTTTATGCGGTTGCTTTTAATCATGTAAGCCGTCCTGAGACGCGATAGTGAAGGATGGCATACAAATGTTTTAAATAAATAAAAAATAAATAAAATTTATCTTTGATTCCTCCTTAGTATTTTAATTCCTACTTGCTGTTTAAAAACCTGTAAGATCTATCATCTCTGCACAAAGTTCTGTAATTTCTTCTAATCAAAGTCAGTACTTCCCCTATGGTACCTGGGCCGGGCCAGGCCCTCTATCAGTACTGAGAGCCCCAAGCATTCTGAAATTGGACCCCAGTGATCCCTCAGTTCCAAGGGCAACAATTGCTCTCACGGTGCCTTCATTTTTCATTGGCAGTGGCAACCATCTTTTTAGCAGGCTTGGCTACCTTTATGGCTGCATAGTCCTCCAATGAGCAGCACATAGTCCTCCTTGGATAGGCAGGCTCAGTTGGGACTCGTGCCACATCTGATGAAGGCATGGGTGGTGTCATCACAGCTCGAATGGATGGGTGTTTTTGTCCCTTTCTTTTCATGGAATTGGTGACCTTCAGGGCCCTATTCCAGAGTTTAGTCCGTTTAGCACTATGCCTCCAGGCCTGTTTTGTGAAGGAAATGCAGGCAGACCTTGACAACATGTCTTGCCCAGGCAGAGAAGGCAGAAGGAGTGACTGTCCACAGGGGCCAGTTTGCTTCTCTTAAAAGAATTTAAGGTGTCTTTACATGAGATGCAAATGCCAAATGTTTAATGATTTACATTTAAAAATGTAAACAACTAAAAAGCAGTAATTGTGCTAAAGGGAATATATTGGTTCACAATGAATTCTGGGAAAGTGGCATATAAATAGCCGTCAAGATGATCTGAATAGTTTCCAAAGAGAAAATGATAAGCCCTTAACATTGGGTGAAAAGAGTTACTTGAGAAATGAACAGATGTGAGATGGTATATCCCAGGTCAAAAGTATAATTGAAGTTTTTCTTTGCCAATTAATAAGTAAAGATATTATGTCAGATATACATATCAAAAGTTGATTTACAGATATTTAGAAAAAATATACATTTAAGCTTTACCGTCAAATTTGGAGAAAGTGATCAAAAGTATAGTTCAAAATTATTCCTTCTAAAAGATTTAATTCAAAATCTATTGTATTCACTCTGAAAGTTATAAATTTGGTATGTTCTACTTGCATGTTCTACTGTTTAATAACAGTGTATAAGTAAGACTATGAACCCTAATTTATGGAATGGTAGATTACTATTCCTGTATAATCATTATTCTGTTACATTAATAATTCCATTTCTTACTAAGCTATTAAGCTCCAAGAAATTGTACCAAAGCTGTTTAACAAGAAATGTTTTCATGTCAGTTTATTCAAATTATATTTTTATGTGATGTTACAAGTATATTTCTACTTCAAATTTTAAAAAGTCCAAGTATTTTTTTCTTCTACTAATTCTTCTTAGTACAAAGCCAAAGCTGAATCCACCTAAAACAATTTTTGATGTAAACTTTATTAGTGCCGTGGTTTTCAACCACAGGTCCACAGACCGCTACAGGTCTGCAGATTTCCTGCCAGTCCGTGAAAAAGTCCCCAGGAGAAGCTGCAGAGGGGCAACATATGAGAGCAGCAACTAGGGCCAAACCCGTAATAAACAGTTGAGACATGTACGGATCCAGTGCATCTTTTCCTTGCTGCTCACTGTTGCCCCCCGCATCACATCCATTTTCTTCCCTTCTGTCATATCTCCACTGAAGAAATCATCCTTACAGAAGGAACTAGCATTCCAAAGCTGAAGAACACCACTGAATAGCCCATGTGCTGGAGGAAACTATGCCCTCAGGGGAGACAGCTGTAGATCCATCCCTGTAAGAGGTGGGCAACTCAGTTTCTGAAGCAGAAGACACCCACTTAGCCCCTGAAAGTGCTGTCATTTCAAGAGGTAGGCCACAGGAACCTCTGTGAGGAAGAGGTGTTCACCAAGGAAGGCATCTTATGACTCTTTGACAGTAGGATCCTTCTTTCTTCGTAAGTCCTTGATATGATGCAGCTCAGTCTTGTGTAGGGTTTGGGAAGCTCTGATTATACAAGTTTGCAATTTTGACTAGAAATCCTTTGCTTCTGATCTTTGCCTGCTTACAGACTCCCTTCTTTGGCTGGAGTAACAAACCTGCATATCTTCCTACTGGCTTGCTAACTGATTTGCCCCATTGCTGATACTAAGCCAAGCCTGAACTAACCATAGTGGAACAAGAAGTGAGGTCATAACGCGGACTTCAGAAGAGGAAGAGTTATATTGACTACAGAATTTAAGGTTCTAACATTATGGTTTGCTTAATATCTAGCCTACAGAAAATTCTAAAAGAAATGGTGCCAAATATTTCACAATTTATTTATTTATTGCATTTGGCAATATTTTAATTGGCCCTTCTGTAGTTTGGCTTTTTCTTCGTAATAGGCGAAAGCACGGCTACCTACATTTTGTTGCCTTCCTTGGTGCCTAAAATGTTTCCATCAGTATCTACAAACACAAACAATTCCCTTGTTTAACTTTAAAAAGTTGCAAAAATGAGACCTAGAAACACACACAAACCCTAATCTGATACAGTAAAGCAAAACTTATTTTATAGCATATATACCCTTTAGGAGCTTCCAGACCAAATGCCTACATTTCTCATAATTTCTTTCTGAAAGTTCCCATCCTGCCTCTACTTTGAAAGCCTCTTAAATAATACAAGTGACAGTTTCTTATCAAATATGGCTACACCATTAACATTAACCACAACACTGTCAAATGTGCCTCTTTACTGTACTAAAAGGAGATATGCTAGGACTTCTCCATTAAGAAGCTCCACCCTTCCGCCCCCCCCCCCCCTCAAGTTTAAGGACACAAGGGACAAAAGGCTGAAAGCAGTAATCCCCTGAGCAGGTCTTTGTTATGAAAGATGAACACAGAAATTAAGCAGGACTCAGTTGTGATAACAGCTAATGTCCATACTTATCTTTGCTTGCTGCAAGCAGATGTCTGCAGCTTGCATTTTGTCCTATCTCTTTTGCAAAGAATTACAAGAGGAGAGAGGTCAGCATTCCAGCAAGGTCGTCTCTCTTCAGTGCTTGGAGAGAGAAGCATGGAAAGTGGGCTGGGTTATATTTAGAGTTTGGTCTAAATCAGTGTCAGGGTCCCCCTGTCTCTCCTTTACTGTTCTGTCTCAGGACCTTGGATCTAACAGTGCTATATCTAAGCCTACACAATACCAGTTGTGGGGAAACTGCAGGATTTTCAAGCCCTCGGTGTGCTCAGAAGACAAAGTCTGAGTCAAATTTGACTTCTGAAAAAGTAAGGAAAGAAGGAAGGACTCTGTTGCCCTGGATTGTCCTTTGTGAATGGCGAAAGGGGGATTACCCAGAAGCTTGCTTCTTTAAATATGGTAAGATTTTCTATTCTCATTCTTAAAAAATTAGGGTGTAGTATTGTACTGAATTTCCTTTTTGACTGAGGTGTCCTTATGCAAGCAATATCAAATCCTGTTTTGGATGCAAATTGTTATTCAGTTGGGGATATACATACTTGCATTATTGTTTGATCACTAATGGTAGGAAGCTTACATAAGCAGCACGTGAAATGATTGTTCTGCATTTCAATCCCTGTTTTAAAATCTTTAGCAAATCAGCAAGGAGAAAATATTGATGGAAATACTACATTAGAACCCTTGAGAAAGGAAAATCAAGACCATGCCTGTAGACAATGTTTTATTGCTTTGTGTACAAGTGAAGGCACAAATATTCCAAAAATGACCCTGGTACACAGGTTTTATAATAAGCAGTCAAGATTTTCAAGGAAATAGTAGCAGCAAACATGGAAGCCTTCCAAGGCTGAGTATGGCTTGATAACAAACTGTAGGTTACTGAGGAAACATGGGGCTTTGTGTTGTTTGAACCCAGCTGAGAGAATAAACTATGGTGAATAACCACAATTCACAACCAACTACAAACCATGGGTTTTCTAAATGGGCTATTCATGGTTAACAAAGCATGGTTGTTTGCAGTTAACAAGCCATGGCTTGTTAGCACTGCTGTGTTCAGACACTATGCTAATTTGCAGTTCAACAACAACCCATACTCAACCCTCCAGTATAAGTTATTATATTGTCTGAACCCAGTTATTCTCTCATTCTCTCTGCCCTTATTCCCTCCACTTCATTATCTATCAGTAACCAGTGTTACTGTATTGTAACAGTGTTTATCCTGCAATAACACATTCCCAGGATTCGCAATGAAGAAATGCTAGAAACTGTGTGTCCATGAAGTGACTATGATTTCTAACAAAACTGTTTTTCTTTACAAAACCCATGACACTTGTGAATAGTTACACCAGTAGTTTTTGCAATAGATATGCTTGCAAGAACCACTGTTTTGGAACCACCATTTCATTCTGTCCTGATGCTTTTCACTAATGTTGAGTCTGAAATGCGTAGCTAACTTGGACCTAAGGGTTTGAGGGGAAGGCACTACATGTTGTGGGCACATCTCTACCCTCTTCCCTTCCCAGCAAATCAAGCTGAAAGACTTCCAAAATACAGTCCTTTATCAAGCTGGAGTGCTTTCCAATGCATAGTGAGTAATAACAAAGTCATTAACAACTACCATCTTTCAAAGTAGTCATCTGACTGATTGGTGTAGTTAGCTCTTGCCCATGTCAGAAGTTGATTCCAAATGGAATCTTTCTCCTCCAAAAGGGCTGACTCTACCCTCAAGAAGGCTTGTGCTCCTTGCTGGCCAAACAATGGGAATGCTGGACATTACTTAATCAGTCAAATTCCTTGGCTTGAGAATGGACTACTGGCTGATGGACTCAAGCTGACCCTCCTTGTTCTACAGCATCTGGTTCTTACTAGCTGCTTAGTTAATGCTCACCAAACCTGGCAGTTCCATAACACATTGCAGCCCCTACTCTTTGTCGAACTTCCATGTCTGCCCTTTTTAGCTTGCAATGCTATAATTTGAAAGAAGTGGGCCCAATCCCTATACTACAATATTTGACACATATGGACTTTAGAAATTATTCATTATTTGCTTTCTACAACTGTACATGAACTGCTTCATAGAACATAAACCATCTTTCATTTAGCCATGTTTTGTTACTATAGCGTTCCAGCACAGCATTACTCAGTTGGAGAGCTGAAATGGAGAGTACTTAAGAGTAAGTAAACTGCTTAGCACCAGTCTTCTCAATGAAATTTGCTAGCAGGGAAATGGGATGGAATTCAATGCTTCACATCCTGTCCAAGGAAATTGAGAATACAGCAGTAGGAATCCGATTCCAGAATAATAGTTGCAGTTGAAGCAGGAGGGGAGTAGTTTCCCTAAAGGGAATCTTTTATGGTTTCAATAACCAGAATATATTATCATGTGCAAGCTACAAAAAAAAAAAAACCCTGGCAAAAGAATAAATCTTGACAATCCATATTTTGCAAGTGGGTTCACTTTCCATATATATGACTGATACATCAGAAATGCAAAACTAAATGAACAAAGGAAACATACAACATAGTGCTGTTGCATCTTAGAATGTAATTTGTTTACTAGGTGGGTTTGCTTTTTGAATTCTCAGTAAATAGATTACCACTGTAAATCAATGGATTACATTTATCACTAGTTATAAGGTAATGCTTTAGTTCTAAAGACCATATTAATTTCTATGACTGTAATACAGACAGTAAATGATTGAGGAATGTGGTGCACTATTCACCAGTGTACCATGTGCCATTTTTTGTGGATAATTTAGTCTAGCCCTCCCAACCTGGTACCATCCAGGTCTTCTGGCCCTCAGTTACTATCAGCTCCAGCTAGCATTGCCAATCATTAGTAATTCTGGGAGTTTTAGTTCAAAATGTCTTGAGGGCACCAAACTGAGAAAGTCTTATTTAGTGGCTATTGTTAGACTAGATCAGTGATGATGAACCTATGGCACGTGTGCCACAGTGGGCACACAGAGCCCTCTCTGTTGGCATGTGAGCCAAGTCGCCCCAGCAGCCATGCACATATTCGGAAAGAGTAACTGCTCCAGGCGACGACGTCACTCATTAGCTGCGACTCGCCGCAAGAGGCGGTGTCGAACAGGTGACCAGAGGCAGGTGCAACAGCCATGGCGGCTGCACCAGGAAGGGAGTGGGTGTGCAGCAAGCAGGCATGCCGAGCACTGCCGGCAGTGCCCTGCTCCTGCCTCCTCCCAGCCCACAGCATGTGAGCAGCCACCCAAGCTGCTCTCCTAGTGCAGTGGTGGGACCCTGCCGACTTGGTAGCCGCAGGCACAGCCAGGCAGCTGTGCACCCGCTTGCCCGTTCCCGGGCCGGGTTCCCATGCTGGTGGCCGTGGGTGGGTGGGGCAAGCTGGGTGAAGGAAGCAAGTGACAGGGTCGAGGCTGGGTTCCACTCTGGATCCTGACTATAAAAGGGATTTGAATGTTAAAAGGCCCTGTACTCCTATGGTACAGTCATAATCTGGATCTGGTCCTTCATGCTTACTTTTGAGTAATGGGGAAAAGATGTAGGAGCTAGCAAAACCATTGAAGTAACTCAGCTGTTAAGAGATGTGAAATCTTTCTTTGTAAATTTATTAAAAAATAACTTTATTTATCCAGTGGATGACCATTATTCCAGTTTTAAAAACAATGTAAAAGAGAAAATAAGGTGGGAGGGGAAATAGTGATTTGCCTGTATTAAGCTCCTTACAGATAAAAGGAGGTCACAGAAAGCAAGCTGGCTAAAATTCTGAAGAGGCTCATTGCCATTATTATTATTATTATTATTATTATTATTATTATTATTATTACAATTTTACCCTCCCTTTCATGGTATATTCTATCACTAAATGGCTTACATGCACAATGACAAAATGAAATAACAATGCAATTAAAAACTGTAAATATTAACATATACTGGGCTAGAAATGGCCAACCTTCCTTTGCCTTCGGTGACATTTTCATCCGGCTGAATGGCTCAAGGCCTTTTCCTTTCACCCAGGTGTTCTCTCTATACCCTCAAACATTGCTAGTTCTTTTCTATCCTGAACTTTTGCCTGCATTTTTAGGGACTCCTGACATGACATGAAGCCTTACCATCTAAGTTCCTATGTGTGTGTATGTGTGGCAGAGATACTCTGAAAACCACATTGAGGATTCCACTGACCTGTTTTACAGAGTATAAAAACAGAGAATCCCAACCCAAAGCACTTATTCGTGATGCTTTACTAGAGGATCTGAAGGCTGCACTGCTTGTGCTGATACTACTATTTTGTGCACTCCCACCTCCCACTTTATTTAACCATGAACCCCTTGGCTAGCAAGCAAATATATTATCAGTTCCTGCATGCTCTTTGAGCTTCAAGAATTTAGCATGGAGCATTATTAGCTTTATTTCCCTAGCAAAGAGTTTTATTGCTCAAAATGCGTTGGGGCACTTGTCATTGTTGTAGAAAATAAACAATGTTTGGAGTAGGAGTACATTACATTTTTGCTTCTAAACTGGTATAGTGCTCTCCTTTGTCAAACTTGTAGTGATGGCACAAGAATTGCCAAGAAAGCCAGGCTGGACCAAGTGAAGATTACAAAAAGAACAGTAGTACTAGAGGTTTCAAATACCTGGGTACCCAAACCAATGGGAAGCCAGGTTTTAGAGCTATCTGAAGTGAGGGAGTTGGGAGTGGGAGGATAGACAGCCAAAATAATTTCATGGGTATTTGGGTTCAAAAGAAGAACAACTCAAAACCTTCAATATTTAAGTTGTTGAACATTTCTTATTATCGCATTACATTTATATCCCGTCTTTTTCCTCTTGCAAGGAACCTAGAATGGCATAACTCCACCACTCCATTTTAACCTCACAACAACTTGGTGAGGTCATTTAGGCAAGAGTTGAGCAACAAACTCACCCACTGAGCTTCACAACCAAGTATAGACAGGAAGATGGATTTCCTGCATCCCCTGTACAACACACATACCACCACTGCACACTGGCTCTAAGTTTTTTTAAAAGAAGGATTTGGGGATTTATTTTTAGCCAAAGAACAGGCAAGGAAAAACACAATCATTTATATGAAACAGATCGATAACAGGCTGATAAGAGAACTGATAACCAATGAAATTTTTTCAGCCTGATTGCAGTATGTGTACAGAAGGATGTTTCACTAAACATTCTAGCCACACTGTTTTGTACTAGCTGAAGCTTATGGACTGTCTGTGAGGGCAGCCACACACCAAGTGCATTGTAATAATCCAGTCCAATGACTAATGCACAAGCCACTGTGGCTAAGCTTTCCCATCCAGGAACAGGAATAGCAGACACATCAGCTGAAGCTAGCAAAAGCTGCACTTTAGGCACTGAAGTCACCTGAGTAACAAAAATTGATCAGACCACCTACAAGTTATGAA